CACCAGCTAAGGTTGTCAATGATAAGTAGTGGGCGGAGGAAAGGCTCACTAGCTAAGGTTGAGCAGACAAAAGGCTCACCATCTAAAGTTGTCAATGATAAACAGTGGGCGGAGGAAAGGCTCACCAGCTAAGGTTGTCAATGATAAGTAGTGGGCGGAAGAAAGGCTCACCATCTAAGGTTGTCAATGATAAGTAGTGGGCGGAAGAAAGGCTCACCATCTAAGGTTGTCGGAAGAAAGGCTCACCATCTAAGGTTGTCAATGATAAGCAGTGAGCAGAGAAAAAGCTCACCAGCTAAAGTTGTCATTGATAAGCAGTGGGCGGAGGAAAGGCTCACCATCTAAGGTTGAGCAGAGAAAAAGCTCACCAGCTAAAGTTGTCAATGATAAGTAGTGGGCGGGGGAAAGGCTCACCATCTAAGGTTGAGCAGAGAAAAGGCTCACCATCTAAAGTTGTCAATGATAAACAGTGGGCGGAGGAAAGGTTCACCAGCTAAGGTTGAGCAGAGAAAAGGCTCACCATCTAAGGTTGAGCAGAGAAAAGGCTCACCAGCTAAAGTTGTCAATGATAAACAGTGGGCGGAGGAAAGGTTCACCAGCTAAGGTTGTCAATGATAAGTAGTGGGCGGAAGAAAGGCTCACCAGCTAAGGTTGTCAATGATAAGTAGTGGGCGGAAGAAAGGCTCACCATCTAAGGTTGTCAATGATAAGTAGTGGGCGGAAGAAAGGCCCACCATCTAAGGTTGTCAATGATAAACAGTGGGCGGAGGAAAAGTTCACCAGCTAAGGTTGTCAATGATAAGTAGTGGGCGGAAGAAAGGCCCACCATCTAAGGTTGTCAATGATAAGTAGAAGGCGGAAGAAAGGCCCACCATCTAAGGTTGTCAATAATAAGCAGTGAGCAGAGAAAAGGCTCACCAGCTAAAGTTGTCAATGATAAGTAGTGGGCGGAGAAAAGGCTCAACAGCTAAGGTTGAGCAGAGAAAAGGCTCACCATCGAAGGTTGTCAATGATAAGCAGTGAGCAGAGAAATGGCTCACCATCTAAGGTTGTCAATGATAAGCAGTGAGCAGAGAAAAGGCTCACCAGCTAAAGTTGTCAATGATAAACAGTGGGCGGAAGAATGGCTCATCAGCTAAGTTAATAGAAAATGTGAAACGCATGGGTCTTGAAATAAACAAATTTGGTTGAACAACTTTATACCCTTTCATCCATGAAGAGCAGTATTGTCTACCATATCCATATATAGTGTTAAGAAGACTTGAAATTTCAGTCAATTTGACCCCGATCAGCCAGGATCAATAGTACATACCATCAAGTCATCATCCTTTGGCAATCATTTTAAAAAAATTTGGACAAAAGGCGATCGCAATAGGTCCACATGATACTTTGTATCTTTTGATCTAGCTAGTCATATATTTTAAGTTACTTGGTAATATGCTACCGAAAGTGAAAGTGAAAGAACTGTTTCTGTTTAGCAAAGACTTCAGCTATAGATTAAATAATCTGTTGTACAGTAACAAATCCCATTACATTTTTCCCAGTTTGATTTATCTTATTATTCATGCTAAATGAAAAAAATGTAGTCAAAATGTCTTGCAGATTATTTATAACGTGTTTCATTTTTGACAAGCAAATGCATACACGGAGAACATGTGAGCAAATAGTAACAAAACCAGGAAAATATCTATTATTATCTTTTTTTTTTTTTTTTTTTTGTCTTTTTGTGAAAAATATTTACTCCCCGGTTGTTAAATATAATTCCTTCTGTTGTTTTCCATCATGCTCAGTGCCTATGAATAATTGAACATCAACTGTGGGCACAAAATGGTCCATAAAATAATAGATAATCACTGCCTTGATTTAGTTCTTTCTTTGTATGTAAATACATCTTGGAAAAGAAATCTTCATTCCTCTCCTCTTTCAATAATTTCACATTCTCATAGTACTATTGAGTGGAACACATATCTAGGAGCTGCCAAGCTAGCGTTATCCCACATGACCTGTTATTGGAACAAGAGGCCCAAGGGGCCTTAACGGTCACCTGAGGAATATATGTCAATAATCTGGGGATTTTAAAATGTTGCAAAGATGTAACAACACTTGTACAGGACCATGTGTAAAACATCTGTACCAAGTTTGAACATGACCCACCCAATGGTTCTTGAGATGAAATCCATAATGTCTTAGCCAAACAGAGGCCAGGTTGGCCATCTTGGATTTTGAATCGCCCCAAAAAGTTAAAACACTTGCCAGGACCTTGTGTAGAACATTCGTATCAAGTTTCCCCTTTTTCCCCCTCCTGGGGCCCCTATTGGGGCCACGCCCTTTTTCTTCGCAAACTTGAAGCAGCTTCCGATGGGGATGCTTTGTGCCAGGTTTGGTCAAATTCCATCCAATGGTTTTTGAGAAGTCATTTAAAGAAGGTTTTTACATATGGCCTCTTTTACACCACTTATGGGCCCCAAAGGGGCCATAATCACTTTTTTCAACATAATTTCATATGTCCTTCACTAAGGGATGCTTTCTACCAAATTTGGTTGAAATCGGTCAAAGTTGATTTTTGACCCTTTTGAGTGCCCCCTAGTGGGGCCGTTTTTAACCCAATTTTTTTCATTTGCAAACTTTGTAGACCATGCCATAAGGACCCTAAATATCAGATATAAACTTAATCTGAATGTTGGTTCATGAGAAGAAGATTTTTTAAAGATTTACTTAATTTTACACCCATTTTCCCCCTCCTGGAGTCCCTATTGGGGCCATACCCTTTTTCTTCGCAAACTTGAAGCGGCTTCCCATGGGGATGCTTTGTGCCAAGTTTGGTCAAAATCTATTCAGTGGTTCTTGAGAAGAAGTCGAATATGTTAAAAGTTAACAACACACGACGCACAGCACATGACGACAGGCTCAGGCGACCTAAAAACGTCCAAACAGTCAAACATAGTTTAGCCCTTAACAGTCATATTCTAATGAGTGTGACGTTCTTCGTCTTTTACTTTTAAACTTTTGATACGTGTCGGTAACCATTGAATACTTCTAAGGATGCAGCCCTGAAATCCGACCAATTGTTCCCATGGTAATAAAAGACAAGAGGCCCAGAGGGTCTGTATCGCTCACCTGGATCTTTATGACCAACAGTTTAAGAATATTTTCACTATCCTAGATGTTTTGGATAATCAGAAAATGTCATTTAAAGGTTCAACACATTTGACCCCTGTGACCTTGACTATGGGTCAAGATCATTTCTTTTTGTAAACTTTCTTGGACTTCATAAAAGGAACATACTGGCCAAATATAATGATTCCAGGCTTTTCGATATTTCAGAAGAAATTGTTTTAAACGTTTTAACACATTTGACCCCCGTGACCATTGTGATTGGTCAAGGTCATTTTTCAAACTTCGTAGGACACCATAAGAGGAACATAGTAACCTAATATAATGATTTTAGGCCTTCCAGTATTTGTGCAGCAGTCGTTTAAAGGTTTTTACACATTTGACCTCTGTGATCTTGAATATGGGTCAAGTTCATTTCTTTTCGCAAACTTTGTTGGACTTCATCAAAGGAACTTTCCTATCATATATAATGATTCCAGGCCTTCCAGTATTTTGGAAGAAGTTGCTTAAGTATTTTAACACATTTGACCTCTGCGACCTTGAATATGGGTCAAGGTTATTTTTTTTCGCAAACTTTGTTGGGCTTCATCAAAGGAACCTTCCAGCCAAATATGATAACTCTACACCGTTCGGTATTTCAGGAGAAGTTGTTTAAATGAAAGTTGACGGATGCAGGATGGACAGACCTTTGGGCCAGGCGAGCTAAAATGGCAATAACGAAATCTCACCGATAGCAAACAGGACACCAGAAGTACAAATAGAGAAAGTTTAGTGGAGATCATTTGTATCGTTTTCAAAGTTGTAGCCAAATGAAAGTTTGAGTCACTGTCACTCATCAGTTTGATCATTGAAAGTTGGATATTTTCCCTTCTTTGCTTTTCTACTTAATGATAAGAAATTTAAACATTTCTGTGTAGAAATAGCGATGATAATCTTCACCTGCCAAATAAAAAATGGTCGCTTGGAAGCCATATTTTTCTTTTTAATCAGTCCCAAAATCAGACGGGCAAAAGTAGAGACCATAGGGCAACATATATGAAAGTTTCAAGAGATCTATTCAGAACTTCTTAAGAAATAGGGATAACAATCTTTGCTAGGCGAAATTCAAGATGGCTGCCTGTGGGCAATTTTATTTTTCTTATCAGTCCAAAATCAGACAGGCACAACAAAGGACCAAGAGGAACCTATACAAGAAAACTTGAGAAAGATTTGTGAACTTTTCTCAAGAAATAGCGATAACAAACTTGCAAAGTCAAAATCTATGATGGCCTCCTGTTAGTCATTTTATATTTCTGATCAGTACCACAATCAAACAGGCACAACTACAGACCAAGGGGAACAAACAAGAAGTTTGAGAAAGGTCTATGTTGTAGTTCTCAAGACGGATGGACCACAGACGCAGGTCGATTTGAATAGCCCTCCTTCAGATGATGGTGGGTTAAAAATGAACAATCTAGCACTGTCCAAGAAATGGCGATAACAAATCTCATTGAAAAATTCAAAGATGGCCACCTGTCTACCATTTCGTTTTCTGATCAGTCCCAAAATCAAACGGGCACAACTAGGGACCAAGGGGAATCTACATATGAAATTTGAGAAAGATTCATCCAATACATCTCGAGAAGTAAGAGAAAACAAAGAAATTGCTTTAAGACAGATGGACGACAGACAACAATGTATGGCCATTTGAATAGCCCACCATCTGATGATCGGTGGGCAAAAACTATCAGCAACTGCCAAAGGAACGACTAGGGCACTAGCTTAATATGTACAGGTTTTGCCAAGATCAGTTGAATGATTCTAAAACACTAATGTGTTTTATGCAGGATAACAAAGCTCATAGAATTCTACAAAAATACTGCAGAACAAACGATAATACACATATATTAAATTTCTTCATCAATTTTATTTACATTACAACCCCCTTCTGTCTTTTCTGCAATGAAAAACCACCTGTTGGATTGTGTGTTAGCGGTTTTATATAACAAATATTGGGTTTAGGGAAGTGAGGGAGGGGGTTCCCATCACAAAGGTAACATGCCCATACAGACTGTCAGAGAATACAGCAATTAAGAACATCAAGAAATATCTTCAAAATTCTTCATTCCAGAAGACAATATTTTCCAATTGAATGTTCCATCTAACATTCCCATGTTACAGATCCCTATTAATTTTAAGTAATGTGATAAATGATTTGTCCCATTTCCTTCTAAATTCACATGCTTCAAGCATGAACAAAACATAAGGCATAAGGGTACTATAGGCTCACAATGTTGTTCCATGTTTTCATTCATCTTTTTTATGTATCCATAACTATATAAAATTGGCAATTGAATCAAAAGTCTTGCTATCCTCAATCACACAATAACAAAACAAAAACGATGCCAACATTCACACTTTCATATCATGCATAAAATCATCTAGGAGTTCAAACAACTTGTGTAAATCTGTTTATTGCAGTGGGAGAAATTATAGAAAAACTGCAGACTATTAATTTGTCATGCCAGAAAGGTTTCAACATTCAATTAATGAACATCAACAAATTAAATGAAAATTTTGTACTGAATAAATACAATGAAGTTATATAGATTTTAATTAAACAGCAGGTTTTGTGTAGGTATATCAACGTAACCTTGAAAACAAAAGGCAGACAACTTGGAGTAAACACTATTCTGAGCATTTCAACAATTTCTCTTGCCTCTGGATTGCAATTATTATGAAATAGTACAGTAAGCTCACCTAGTAGCACCATGTGACAGATCAGACAGTACATATGCACAGTTTCTCGTGCATGTTTGTAAAAGGCTGACACAAGATATTTACAGGTTATTTTTTTCAACCCATCATTAGGATAATGTTGAATGAGGAAAAAAATTAGAAAAAAAAAAAATGAAAAAAAAATAAAATGCAAATTTAAATCCTATGATAAAAATGCATGTTAACAGATCATTATACACTGCTAATACTGAACGATGGGAAATGGTTTACTTTCAAATTAATGGGTAATCCATCAAGTTCATTCATGCTTCACACATCCAATGACAGCCACCCAAACATGACAGATTTCATTCATGAACACTATATCGATCATGTTGTCACATGATGCAACATATAATTTTTTTTTTTGTCAATAAAACCATCACACAATAATGATGGGAACATTATTTGTATTATATAATAACTTGCACCAATTTTTTAATCACAATCTTTTGTCGTTTACACAGTAGTCAAGTCAACCACTTAGCAATCAGCCATGCAATCTCCATCCACACCACTCACACACTTGTGCATAAGCAAAACAATGACCTGGTTTCATTAACAATCTCTACATTCTGAATCAATATTTTCCATTTATTTACCATAAATGCAACAATTTCACCATGAATGCAGAAAAGAACATGCTAAATATAGCATATCCCATAGGGTATAATACAAAAATTGTCCAGAAATAAGACAGTGGTTCCTGTTGCTTTGGACATCATCGAAAGGAAGTATTCTTAAATCCACAAACTGACATAGTCACATGCTTGTTGCATAATATATATATATATATAGGAAATGAAAATATGTGAGCAGCTGGACATGTCCATGCAATTCTTCAATGAAGTACAAAATATTTCATACTTCTACCAATTTTCTCTATAGTAACCCCTAAAACAGAAATAAATAACCCCCAGTTTATTAACTAAATGCCTATAGAAGCCATCCTCAGCTATCACTAGTCTCCTCCGCCTCTCTTAGCCACGTAAAGAACTGGACAACTTGACGCATAGCCACTCCCTTGCCTTCCTGCTCAGCTGGGTCCTCGCTCTTCTCCCATTGGTTAAATGCATCCTCCGATATTATGTCCTCATCATAAAGCGTATCAAATAATGTTCTTAGAACACCTGTAAATGAAATATTTATATTTCTCTCAAACTGATGCTAAATATACAATTTCCATGTTTTTTTTTTATCATAGCATTTCTTGAAGTTGTATTTAGTCAGAGACCAACATTTTATACAAGTTCTACAAGATTCACACACTACCTTCTAACTGTAAATTTTATAGGTACTAAGATGCTTACATAAGATAGGTATATGTGAATCTATTTTTAGTAGCAGTAGAATTAGGTGTTGTACTATCAGTATGGTGCCAGTATGACAGAAATCAGTTGTAGGATTGATGAGACATGTTGCACACAAGCTTTTTATTTCCAGTACCTCATATGAACGTCTAAATTGGGCCAACAACCACCGAAATATAATCAGGTGTAGAGTGTGATATCATGGTGTTGAATAAGAAGTAAACTTGTTGTTTTATTACAAGATATCAATATCAATTGCGATTTTATAATACATAGGTATTGATCACATCAGTTTCACTACAAAATACATTTTGATCATTTGTAAAATGTTAGCTTCTAGTAGGTCAAATATACCAAGACATTCAATGGCATTTCCAAATTACAATAACATCAAAAAATAAATAAATAAATGATAATTTTATCTATTCCTTTGTATGAAAACTGTTTAAATTTTGCTTTACCAGACTGAAATTTTGTGATGTTTCCCGTATCACTGGCCACTGCAACCCCACACATTGTAATATAAAACTCGCCTGATGACCGAATTTTTTTTTTACTTGAAAAAGTTTGTTATTATTGGTTCTAATCTATATATTGGTGAATAGATCTAGACCTAAAAAAGCTTGACCTTTATTTAACCTTTACTGATGACTATAAAAATCTAATAAGATGTAGAGCTGCATGTGGTAATACTATAAAGCAATCAAGACATTCCCTATCACTATATCCCACTGTTCTCTTTGATATTCCCTATCACTATATCCCACTCTGTTTTCTTTGATATTCCTTATCACTATATCCCACTGTTCTCTTTGATATTCCCTATCACTATATCCCACTCTGTTTTCTTTGATATTCCTTATCACTATATCCCACTGTTCTCTTTGATATTCCCTATTACTATATCCAACTGTTCTCTTTGATATTCCCTATCACTATATCCCACTCTGTTTTCTTTGATATTCCTTGTCACTATATCCCACTGTTCTCTTTGATATTCCCTATCACTATATCCCACTCTATTTTCATTGATATTCCCTATCACTATATCCCACTCAGTTCACTTCGACATTCTCTATCACTATATCCCACTCAGTTCTCTTTGACATTCCCTATCACTATATCCCACTCAGTTCTCTTCGACATTCCCTATCACTATATCCCACTCAGTTCTCTTCGACATTCCCTATCACTATATCCCACTCTGTTCTCTTTGACATTCCCTATCACTATATCCCACTCAGTTCTCTTTGACATTCCCTATCACTATATCCCACTCAGTTCTCTTTGACATTCCCTATCACTATATCCCACTCAGTTCTCTTTGACAATCCCTATCACTATATCCCACTCAGTTCTCTTTGACATTCCCTATCACTATATCCCACTCAGTTCTCTTTGACATTCCCTATCACTATATCCCACTCAGTTCTCTTTGACAATCCCTATCACTATATCCCACTCAGTTCTCTTTGACATTCCCTATCACTATATCCCACTCAGTTCTCTTTGACATTCCCTATCACTATATCCCACTCAGTTCTCTTTGACATTCCCTATCACTATATCCCACTCAGTTCTCTTTGACAATCCCTATCACTATATCCCACTCTTCTCTTTGACAATCCCTATCACTATATCCCACTCAGTTCTCTTTGACAATCCCTATCACTATATCCCACTCAGTTCTCTTCGACATTCCCTATCACTATATCCCACTCTGTTCTCTTTGACAATCCCTATCACTATATCCCACTCAGTTCTCTTTGACATTCCCTATCACTATATCCCACTCAGTTCTCTTTGACATTCCCTATCACTATATCCCACTCAGTTCTCTTTGACATTCCCTATCACTATATCCCACTCAGTTCTCTTTGACATTCCCTATCACTATATCCCACTCAGTTCTCTTTGACATTCCCTATCACTATATCCCACTCAGTTCTCTTTGACATTCCCTATCACTATATCCCACTCAGTTCTCTTTGACATTCCCTATCACTATATCCCACTCAGTTCTCTTTGACAATCCCTATCACTATATCCCACTCAGTTCTCTTTGACAATCCCTATCACTATATCCCACTCAGTTCTCTTTGACAATCCCTATCACTATATCCCACTCAGTTCTCTTTGACAATCCCTATCACTATATCCCACTCAGTTCTCTTTGACATTCCCTATCACTATATCCCACTCAGTTCTCTTTGACAATCCCTATCACTATATCCCACTCAGTTCTCTTTGACAATCCCTATCACTATATCCCACTCAGTTCTCTTTGACAATCCCTATCACTATATCCCACTCAGTTCTCTTTGACAATCCCTATCACTATATCCCACTCAGTTCTCTTTGACATTCCCTATCACTATATCCCACTCAGTTCTCTTTGACATTCCCTATCACTATATCCCACTCAGTTCTCTTTCAGTTCTCTTTGACATTCCCTATCACTATATCCCACTCAGTTCTCTTTGACAATCCCTATCACTATATCCCACTCAGTTCTCTTTGACAATCCCTATCACTATATCCCACTCAGTTCTCTTTGACAATCCCTATCACTATATCCCACTCAGTTCTCTTTGACAATCCCTATCACTATATCCCACTCAGTTCTCTTTGACAATCCCTATCACTATATCCCACTCAGTTCTCTTTGACAATCCCTATCACTATATCCCACTCAGTTCTCTTTGACAATCCCTATCACTATATCCCACTCAGTTCTCTTTGACATTCCCTATCACTATATCCCACTCAGTTCTCTTTGACAATCCCTATCACTATATCCCACTCAGTTCTCTTTGACAATCCCTATCACTATATCCCACTCAGTTCTCTTTGACAATCCCTATCACTATATCCCACTCAGTTCTCTTTGACATTCCCTATCACTATATCCCACTCTGTTCTCTTTGACAATCCCTATCACTATATCCCACTCAGTTCTCTTTGACAATCCCTATCACTATATCCCACTCAGTTCTCTTTGACAATCCCTATCACTATATCCCACTCAGTTCTCTTTGACATTCCCTATCACTATATCCCACTCTGTTCTCTTTGACATTCCCTATCACTATATCCCACTCAGTTCTCTTCGACATTCCCTATCACTATATCCCACTCTGTTCTCTTTGACAATCCCTATCACTATATCCCACTCAGTTCTCTTTGACAATCCCTATCACTATATCCCACTCAGTTCTCTTTGACAATCCCTATCACTATATCCCTATCTTCCTTGCTAACTGACCTGGTGGATGCTCAAGTTTGTGGACTAGTGATTGCAGAGCATATACAGCTTGTAACTCAAATTCGGCTTGATGATCCAGATACTTCTGTAATAAAGCACCACGATTGATAACGTCACGAGGCTCCACTCGAGCACTGCTTCCACGACCTACAATTCAATCAAAAGTTGATGTTTGTAAGTTTTGATTCAATATAAGGAAATTCAGAAATCATGACACAGGTCTATGTCATTGGTGGTAATCATGTAGAAACTGATTATGTGTGAAACATTTATTTACATTTGAAAATTCTGACAGCAGAATCCGAACAATTGTAAATTACAACAAGCTTCAGACATTATAAATATCGGCATCTCTACACTAAGACAGGGATAACTTGCATCATCATTAGCTTTGTTGTTGACATGATCAACATTTGTGAAACTTTCCAAAAAAATGTTCAATTCTCCAAAGGAATAAATGTTTACATGTATATATCTTGGTTGATTGAAGGAAATAGATGGTTTTAAACAATATTACTAACCCTAAGTAATCTGCCTACCTTAAAGAATAGGAAAGATTAATCCAGCACTTAAAAGAAATTAAGGTAACAATAAGTTTTATGAACAAATAGATACAGGACATATTGAAGAGCTTAAAAATTAGATGTCACCTGTAATTGCACATGAACACACTGCTGTCATCAGCACACGGATAAAATGCTTTGATTTCGTGATTGCGTCATCAAGATTTGTCTGAAAATGAAAGACAGCTAATTAAAAATACTGTTTATTAAGAACATTTCAAAGGGTGATCATTTTTTCAAGGGAACAAGTAACCAATGAACTATCTATGATTATATATTTTAATTCAAACTTGGAGTGTTTTGTCATACTTATCGTTACTTTTCTCCTTGCAAAAGCGTTGCTTTTGTAATGATGTTTAAGATGAATTTCCCTTTTGACATAATGTGATGTTTTGAGCCAAAAATTATACAAAGGTAATTGCATCTTGCTGCTTTCTTAACTGACCTCAATCCAGTCAAAGATGTCCTCATTAGTGGACTTCTTCTCCTGTAACAGCATGTCCAAATTTTCCTGTATACTCTCTAAGGGCATAGCTATAGTGGGTGTGCTTGGTTGGCTGCCATCAGGCTCTGTGAAATCCAAACTCTGCAACAGAAACCATTCTTTACACTTCTTTAAAATGTTCATAGAGTAATAAATAGACCAGAATGGTAAGGATTGGTACATAAATCTCAAGATAATTAAACTCCATTGTTAACTATCAAAGGTATTGCTCTGAATTAATGGAAGTTTATCTCCCTTCTTTTATCACTGCTAATCACTTCCTTTCTCCTCTTAAAATTAAAAATTTCATCACTCTGTCCCTTTAATGTGAAATATTTAGTTTGACATTACTCAGCCTGTCAGGCAGTGTCTTAATGAACTACTGAAATAATTTCACATTACTTAAGTGAATATGGGATTTGTGTACGGCACTCAGTAATTACAAACAGTTGTCACAAAACTTACATTTGTCCTTAGGAAGGTTTTCACATCTGCTGCTGGCATGAAGTCATTCCATTGTAGACCAGAGCTTTTCCATATTGATGCTATCTTCTTATGTCCCTAAAAGTAATTGAGTTAGAAATGTTTCAATACAATCTTACTCTTTGTTTTTTTTTATGGTTAGTTTAGATCTGGTCAAGACAAATCAATAGATTCACCTTGATCATTTGATCATATCATTTGATGGATACAGTTACTTTAGTGTTATTTAATGATGAGAAAACAACTCCCTGTGTAATTCAAACCCCATTCAAATATAATTATTTCTGGTTAAACTGCAAAATATTTTTCCTTAAATTAAACTGGACTTTTATTCAATATCTACATTCAGGCAATTCAGCCTCTTTGACAGATAAGCAAAATTCCCGTTGACCAAAATTCTTCTTCTCGGAGATTCTAATTGCTGAATTTGTTTCAATTTAAACAATAAATCATGAACAATAGTATCACCTTGTGATTCAATCTTGACAGACTAAAAATAAACATCATTTGAACATTGATCCCCCAACTTATCAAAGTTTGGTCAAATCCCTTAAGGAAACAAGAGACCCCAGAAGGATCTTGGCACTAATCATTGTTTGATCTTTCTTTGCTCTTTATTCATTTCCTTTTTTTTTTCTCTTCTCTGTTTTTGCCCTTAATGTCGGCCAATTTTTTTTTATCAGTCCCAAAATAACATGGGCATAACTAGAGACCAAGGGGATCCTTCACATGAAAATTTGAGAAAGATCCATCTCTTACTTTTCAAGAAACAATCCCATTCAAAAAATTCAAGATGGCTACCTGTCTGCCATTTTGGTTTTTTTTAAAGTCCCAAGATCAAACAGGCACAACCAGGGACCAAGGGGAACCAACATATGCAATTTGAGAAAGATCCATCCAGAACTTCTCAAGAAATAGTGATAACAAATTTTTTTTACAGCCGACGGACAACAGACCATGGAGGCAAAGTGATTTGAATAGCCTACTATCTGATAATGGTAGGCTAAATATAACAAAGGGCAATAACTCCTAGGTAAGGCAAAAGAGAGTGATAGTTCTTGTGCACTATAGTTCTCCTTGTTTAAATCTATCAACCCATTAAGTTTTATGTTGATACCTCTTATAGTTCTTGTGTTATGCTCTGGACAAAATTATGACAGACAAAGCGGCTACTAAAGGGGAGCATAAAAACCAACAGGTACAACTAGGGGTCAAGGGAAACAAACAGATAAAATCTGAGAAAGATCAATGCTGTAGTTCTCAAGAAACAGCAAAATTAAAGATGGCCACCTAAAGGCCACTTTGTTTTTCTGATCAGACCCAAAATCAAATGGAAGCAAACAGGGACCAAGGGGCTCCTACCCCTCAAAATTTGAAAGAACTATGCATTAATTCTCTCGAAATAGTGATAACAAGCAAAGTTAAAATCGAAGATGCCCCCACCTGTAGGCATATTGTTTTTCTGATCAGTGTATATTTCACAATTAAAAAAGCATTTCTCAAGAGCAAGAATCTAGAATGAATTGTAGCCTCTGTCTTACCTGTCTTTCACTGGCATCATGCAAGATGGCAGCAATGAGTACACATGCTTTGTGACTGGCTTTTAATGGCTCTATGGCATCCTTTAGAAAACTGAAGGGAACACTACCATCCTGGATCATGGGTCCAATTAGTTCTCCAAAATACTGCCATATCTTTGGAATGTCTATTTCCATATCCTCTGCATACTGAAGGATTTCATGTAGCCTATTAAAACAGTGAAAGAACAATTTAATTTATTTTCCCGATTTCTTTCACTTCCAGATACAGTTCAAACAAATTGTTTTAATTATGCATCACATTTCTTTTTGTTAACCTCTTATCAATGTTTTATTGGAAACTGTTCCTATTTTTCATCAATTTTTAAGACATCTACTGCAGACAACCTGACTGAAAGATCTCATCTTGAAAATATAAATGTGAACTTCTTCAACTATTCAGAAATTTTGGCTGGTAATGTTATGGCAGCTTACTTTACCAGGAAAATATTTCAATATCCACAGTGTTCATTTGAGATGACGCTTGTCTCCAAAAATAGCCCAATTTTCATGAAACAAATGTTCTCAAGACCTCATCCCTTCGGAAAAGATTTTGATAATTTACAAGTTCTTATAACATATTTTTCTTTGTTACAGTAAGTACTTACCCATTAATATAGGCCTTTACTGGAACAGACCCTTTCCTGACAAGGTCATGGAGAAGTAGTCCAGTTTGGCGCCTAGCAACTTCTGACCTCTCAAGCACATGGTTTAGGGATGTACTCACAAACCAATGAAGTGTTGACGGGGAATTTAATTCCTCTACACATGTCACAGCTTCCTGTAATATTTTTTCAAATTAAAAGCCTTTCTTCAAGCATTAAATTGAAAGGACAACACCAGATTAACACTGTTTTAGACCCCAAAAATAAGGTTCATGGATCACATTTTATAAAATTACTTTTCCTCATTTAAGGATACAATTTTTGTGAAATTGATATTGAGTAAGCTACCAAGACCATATTGAGGAAATTGTTTGCTCAAAAATGCAATTTTTCTATGAAAATTATTATAAAATTAACCTCCTCTCCACGAAGAAATGTGAGGCCCATTTTATAATTAAAGCATCTTAAAACACTTCCATCCTAGAATAGCATTTCATTCTACAATAACTGGGTGTTGAGAAGATTTCTGAAATTTAATTCAAATTGACCCCTTTTCACCACACCCATCAGTCTCTGGGGGATAACCAGGATCAATATGTGCATACCATCAGGTAGTCACTGCCCATTCATAATTCTAAAGAAGTTTGAAATATTTCCAATGGAGATTAAAACAAATTAGGCTCAAATATCTAGTAAACTTAACCCCCTCCCCACAGGGATATGCGAGATCCTGGAGCCATAAAATTCACAATTTTGATTAACCACCAGAAGATGTTTCCATCCATGAAGAGTATTTGATACTACCATATCTGGGTATTGAGAAGATTTTTGAAATTTGAGTCAATTTAACCCTTTTGGCCCTGCCCCTCAGGCTCAGTAGTGGGGACCATATAATTCACTATTTTGTTAAATCATACACAAGGGAAGGTTTCTGCAAAATTTCACTGAAATCGGTTAAAGAGATTTGGAGAAGTCAAAAATGTTAAATTTTTTACAGACGTACACCGCCGGATGAAGGTGATCACAATTGGTCACAATGAGATTATTTATGTTATTGATAATACAACAAAAAGAATGACAAAAATTCATTTCAATCTGTAGCAAAAATTCACTTGATTGAACATCCTGCAAGTATATATAACTTCTGACCCAATGATATTCCTTGCTTTGATTATGACAATAGTTTCTATGGCAATTAATAACAGAACATAAATCTACATTACATATCTCTGGAAAAATCATAAAAGGCAACTAATTTGAGCTAAAGCATGATGTATTGTCAATTTCACAACATAACCTCGTACTTATTCATCAAAATACCTGCCTAAGTTTCATTTTCGAACAATGAAAGGAATGTCTGTCAGCATTAATATTCAGAGGAAAAGTGTTCAGTTAAACATATTTGAATTATTTACAGAGTGACAATAACACCAGAGTTACAACAAGCTTCAGATAGAATAAATATCGGCATCTCTACACTAAGACAGGGATAACTTGCATCATCATTAGCTTTGTTGTTGACCCGATACAAATTTGTAGAACTTTCTTTGATGTTTCTCATTTCCTAAAATTTTCAATTGTCTCAAAAAATAAAAGTTTGCATAGCTATACCAACTGATTAAAGTAAATGGATGGTTTGAAATGCAATGACATGTTTGTCACCTTAAGTTTTTAGAAGTTGTATAAATATTTCTTTTTATCTGCCAATGTTACTAACCCTATATAATCTGAAAACAACCAACATTCTAACCCTGGCAAGTTAGCAGTTTTGTATTGAATCTATTGATTGATATCATTCTGCGATATCAAGCAATCATAAATTAACAAGAAATCCTCAACACAGTTTTCAGTCAATGGTTCAAATTTTTGCAGTTTCACTTCCATTTTCAACCTTAGCAGGTTTCCTCAAATATTTCATCAGATTTCAATGAAATAAAATGATTCAAATCTTTAAAACAATGAGTGACGAAGCCTCAGCAACGAGGAATTGTCGGCATCTTGTACACTGAGAAAGGATTTTCATCATCGGCTTCATTCCGTCAATCTAAGGGAACCTACATTTGAATTTGAGAATGATTAATCCACCACTTCTAAAATGATAACCATTACCAACAATAACTTCAAAATTCAACATGGACACCTCTAAACCATTTTGATTTTCTCTTCACTCCCAAACTGGTTAACACATGACTAATGACCAAGGTTCACACACAATATATTAAGACTGATAATTCCAGTGGTTCTTAACAGTATTTTGTTTTAACAATACACAACTATCAAGATCCAAGATGGCCATCCATTAGCCATTTTGTTATTTTAATCAACGCACAAAAAGGGACCAAGGAGAACGCAATGACAAAATTTGAAAATTATCCATTTAATATTTCAAGAAATGGTAAAACAGGGTTTTCCATAATTTTGTTAGTAGTAGGCTGTGTAGTGAAAGTAGGATGCTGGCCTGCCGTGTACGTGTAGTCATGTACAGAACATTATTATGGAACTGGATTGGTGTAGGCGGCCAAATGATCAAAGTAGCCGGTCAAAGTTTCATTTTGGAAAACCCTGGTATAAGATTATTTTTTACATGCAAATGGAAATTATGGACAAAGTCTATGATCAGAGATAATTCATTATCTACTAAACATGATTACAAGAGAAATTCTTTTCTACATTTGAAGATTTCAGTGACAGAACTTGAATGTGAAAGAATTACAACAAGCTTCAGATAGAATAAATATCGGCATCTCTACACTAAGACAGGGATAACTTGCATCATCATTAGCTTTGTTGTTGACCCGATACAAATTTGTAGAACTTTCTTTGATGTTTCTCATTTCCTAAAATTTTCAATTGTCTCAAAAAATAAAAGTTTGCATAGCTATACCAACTGATTAAAGTAAATGGATGGTTTGAAATGCAATGACATGTTTGTCACCTTAAGTTTTTAGAAGTTGTATAAATATTTCTTTTTATCTGCCAATGTTACTAACCCTATATAATCTGAAAACAACCAACATTCTAACCCTGGCAAGTTAGCAGTTTTGTATTGAATCTATTGATTGATATCATTCTGCGATATCAAGCAATCATAAATTAACAAGAAATCCTCAACAGTTTTCAGTCAATGGTTCAAATTTTTGCAGTTTCACTTCCATTTTCAACCTTAGCAGGTTTCCTCAAATATTTCATCAGATTTCAATGAAATAAAATGATTCAAATCTTTAAAACAATGAGTGACGAAGCCTCAGCAACGAGGAATTGTCGGCATCTTGTACACTGAGAAAGGATTTTCATCATCGGCTTCATTCCGTCAATCTAAGGGAACCTACATTTGAATTTGAGAATGATTAATCCACCACTTCTAAAATGATAACCATTACCAACAATAACTTCAAAATTCAACATGGACACCTCTAAACCATTTTGATTTTCTCTTCACTCCCAAACTGGTTAACACATGACTAATGACCAAGGTTCACACACAATATATTAAGACTGATAATTCCAGTGGTTCTTAACAGTATTTTGTTTTAACAATACACAACTATCAAGATCCAAGATGGCCATCCATTAGCCATTTTGTTATTTTAATCAACGCACAAAAAGGGACCAAGGAGAACGCAATGACAAAATTTGAAAATTATCCATTTAATATTTCAAGAAATGGTAAAACAGGGTTTTCCATAATTTTGTTAGTAGTAGGCTGTGTAGTGAAAGTAGGATGCTGGCCTGCCGTGTACGTGTAGTCATGTACAGAACATTATTATGGAACTGGATTGGTGTAGGCGGCCAAATGATCAAAGTAGCCGGTCAAATTGGCCGGCGACCGGCTCTTATGGAAAACCCTGGTATAAGATTATTTTTTACATGCAAATGGAAATTATGGACAAAGTCTATGATCAGAGATAATTCATTATCTACTAAACATGATTACAAGAGAAATTCTTTTCTACATTTGAAGATTTCAGTGACAGAACTTGAATGTGAAAGAATTACAACAAGCTTCAGATAGAATAAATATCGGCATCTCTACACTAAGACAGGGATAACTTGCATCATCATTAGCTTTGTTGTTGACCCGATACAAATTTGTAGAACTTTCTTTGATGTTTCTCATTTCCTAAAATTTTCAATTGTCTCAAAAAATAAAAGTTTGCATAGCTATACCAACTGATTAAAGTAAATGGATGGTTTGAAATGCAATGACATGTTTGTCACCTTAAGTTTTTAGAAGTTGTATAAATATTTCTTTTTATCTGCCAATGTTACTAACCCTATATAATCTGAAAACAACCAACATTCTAACCCTGGCAAGTTAGCAGTTTTGTATTGAATCTATTGATTGATATCATTCTGCGATATCAAGCAATCATAAATTAACAAGAAATCCTCAACACAGTTTTCAGTCAATGGTTCAAATTTTTGCAGTTTCACTTCCATTTTCAACCTTAGCAGGTTTCCTCAAATATTTCATCAGATTTCAATGAAATAAAATGATTCAAATCTTTAAAACAATGAGTGACGAAGCCTCAGCAACGAGGAATTGTCGGCATATTGTACACTGAGAAAGGATTTTCATCATCGGCTTCATTCCGTCAATCTAAGGGAACCTACATTTGAATTTGAGAATGATTGATCCACCACTTCTAAAATGATAACCATTACCAACAATAACTTCAAAATTCAACATGGACACCTCTAAACCATTTTGATTTTCTCTTCACTCCCAAACTGGTTAACACATGACTAATGACCAAGGTTCACACACAATATATTAAGACTGATAATTCCAGTGGTTCTTAACAGTATTTTGTTTTAACAATACACAACTATCAAGATCCAAGATGGCCATCCATTAGCCATTTTGTTATTTTAATCAACGCACAAAAAGGGACCAAGGAGAACGCAATGACAAAATTTGAAAATTATCCATTTAATATTTCAAGAAATGGTAAAACAGGGTTTTCCATAATTTTGTTAGTAGTAGGCTGTGTAGTGAAAGTAGGATGCTGGCCTGCCGTGTACGTGTAGTCATGTACAGAACATTATTATGGAACTGGATTGGTGTAGGCGGCCAAATGATCAAAGTAGCCGGTCAAATTGGCCGGCGACCGGCTCTTATGGAAAACCCTGGTATAAGATTATTTTTTACATGCAAATGGAAATTATGGACAAAGTCTATGATCAGAGATAATTCATTATCTACTAAACATGATTACAAGAGAAATTCTTTTCTACATTTGAAGATTTCAGTGACAGAACTTGAATGTGAAAGAATTACAACAAGCTTCAGATAGAATAAATATCGGCATCTCTACACTAAGACAGGGATAACTTGCATCATCATTAGCTTTGTTGTTGACCCGATACAAATTTGTAGAACTTTCTTTGATGTTTCTCATTTCCTAAAATTTTCAATTGTCTCAAAAAATAAAAGTTTGCTTAGCTATACCAACTGATTAAAGTAAATGGATGGTTTGAAATGCAATGACATGTTTGTCACCTTAAGTTTTTAGAAGTTGTATAAATATTTCTTTTTATCTGCCAATGTTACTAACCCTATATAATCTGAAAACAACCAACATTCTAACCCTGGCAAGTTAGCAGTTTTGTATTGAATCTATTGATTGATATCATTCTGCGATATCAAGCAATCATAAATTAACAAGAAATCCTCAACACAGTTTTCAGTCAATGGTTCAAATTTTTGCAGTTTCACTTCCATTTTCAACCTTAGCAGGTTTCCTCAAATATTTCATCAGATTTCAATGAAATAAAATGATTCAAATCTTTAAAACAATGAGTGACGAAGCCTCAGCAACGAGGAATTGTCGGCATATTGTACACTGAGAAAGGATTTTCATCATCGGCTTCATTCCGTCAATCTAAGGGAACCTACATTTGAATTTGAGAATGATTGATCCACCACTTCTAAAATGATAACCATTACCAACAATAACTTCAAAATTCAACATGGACACCTCTAAACCATTTTGATTTTCTCTTCACTCCCAAACTGGTTAACACATGACTAAGGACCAAGGTTCACACACAAGTCTATGATTAGAGATTATTTCTTATCTACCAAACGTGATTGCAAGAGAAATTCTTTTTTATATTTGACAGGATAGGGATAACTTGCATCACCATTAGCTTTGTTGTTGATAAAGATTAGGGAAATTGTTTTAGAGGATTCTAAGTGTGGAAGTTATCTCATTTTAGGGCAAATGTTTCTTGAACTACAGACATTCATATTTCTCAATGTCCAATAATAATGAACTTTTTTTCCATATATTTTGCTGAGCATAATCCTTGTATAAGTATTTGTTCTATAAGTTGTTCACACCTCTTTCCCCCTAAATCATTAATTATTGTGTGAATAGTTTTTCACTATCTTAGTTGCCACAGGAATTGTTGACATCTTGTACACTGAGAACAACAATTTTCATCATTGGCTTCAGTCAGTTTTAAAAGACTCAGTTGTCTTTTAAAACAAAAGTTAAGAAAATGACCTTTAAAAAAAAAGCTTACATTCATATCTTGTATGTGGAGAAACTCGTCCAATATTGAAATAGTTTTCTTTTCCATATCTTCCTGGCTAAGCTCCTTGGCAGGGGTAGGCGTTGCAACAGGTGCTGGTTCTTTCTTCTCCTCACGCACTTCACGGCTTCGACTGTTTTCCCGGCTAGGACCTTCTTTTGGTGTGGTTTGACCACCAATTATGCTCCTGAATCGCAAATTGCAGAATTCAGTTAGATTAGGTGAAAATTAGTGTTAGCACATGACAATTTTCTCCTTATCCAATATTGTTGCATTTGCAAAATTTCTCTGATCAAATACTCCTAGGATGGCCTTTTTTCGTCAAAACCAATTTCTATCGAGACAATAGTGGAACTAGCATTTAACAAATCTTTTCCACTTGATATGAAACACAAATTCATGCAAGTCTGTCTTTCGGTTATCACCTTCCCATTGTAAATGCTTTATACATTGTCTACTATCTCACCTTGCTGCAGCAAGTGCTTTCTCCCTCTCCTGCTCCTGTGATGATCGCGGTGTTACCCTGTTGGGACGACCAAAACCTCCAGGCTGTTGTCTAACTCTGTTGGGACTTGCACCAAGACGACTTCTGCTCTCGTCCTCCGATCGACTTAATGCAGAAAACCTGCAGCCCAACAAGATCGATGATGGAATCTTTAATATGCTCAGCAGAAACATCAACGACAAAGCCTTTTTAATTCTTGTAAATGAATACATCACCAAATTTATTCCCCAGTATCAAGACATATTCAAATATAAAGATTACTTCCCCCCCCCCCCCCCTCACAATTTCAAGAGATCGATCACAGAGGAATCTCGACCCTATTCATTGTTTGATATGTATTTGTACTTTCAAAAGTTGAATTTTTTCCCCGTTTTTGCTATTACTACCAAATACAACGTGGTTGCCTGGTGGAAGTTTTGACTTTCTGATCAGCCCTAAAATTAAACAAGCACAATTTGGGACCACGGAGAACCTACATTCAGATTCATCTAGTGCTTCTCAAGAAATAGTGATTACAACCATTCATTGCCAAAATCAAAGAAAGCAGCCAGTAAGCCATCCCCAACCAGTTTTCTTTCTGACCAGTCTCAAAATTCATTGTTTCAAGTTGTGTAAATTGCCCATTTATATAGTTTTTAAATGACAGGATGCTCAAATTCACTGGCCAATTAGTGAGGTCTAGATACAGGGACTGTATGGCTGGTTTTATATCACTAAACATCCTGCAAGCAGCTATCACTATTTAAAGAGGGATTTAGGGATGGCTAGCCAAAATTTACAGAATTATAGAATCTTGTAATCCAGTAACCAATCTCAACCAAGGACTTGTAATTTGGTTTACAGTTAATATCAATGGATTTTACAAGCCCCTTAGAAGTAATAAGCAGTAAACTTGAATAAAGTTGATGTTTTACAGGAATATCCCTTGCACATATGTATCCTTTAGATATGAATTAAATTAAATGTTGTAAGACAGTGAAAGTTTTGTTTTTGTTGCCTTGATATTGTATATAAGACCAAGCCTCAGTTATACAAAGTCTGCATATTTTACATAAGACCTGGATAACTTTCCTTCATCACTGGCTTCAGTCAATATCTGTTGTACTATCTGAAAATTACCAATGCAAGCCATCCTTTCAGTATTTATTTAAAGTAACTAGCATGAAAGGATCACTTCAAGCCTTCTTCAAAATCCATCAACTACCGACAAATGCTATCTTGAAAATATAGAATGACATTTACTCTAACAATTTGTCAACAACAGTAACATATCTTCCTGTGAGAGGTCTTTTAACTGTATACTTCATGTTAACATGCACAACTTTGAATAAATTAATCTGTATAAAATTTTTCATTTCTAACCACTGTCTATTGATTGTGACGGAAAACTCAAGTCATAAGAAGTGTCAGCATTTTGTAACCCGAGACAGGGACAACTTCTCTACATCATTGGTTTGGTTTTAGTCACAAATCTGAGCAAGGAATTCACCTCAAAGCCAATTTAAGGCTGTCAGTTTTAAGAAGTATTAAATTGTGACAAGCAACTACAATAAAAAAAAAAAAAAAACTATAATAATACCACAAATCCTGCCACCCTTATTCGGACCATTATTAAAAATGTCCAAAAACATCCAAAATATTTGTGACAAAATTTATTGTAATACTCAGTTTATCCTTCTCCATTTGAAACTAAATTTGTAAATACAGTTCTAGTTACCTATTGCTAGGTGTATTGGATGAGCGCTCCGCCTCTTGTGAAGCTCTAGCACCTCCCCCTGTGCTTCCTCTCTGCCAGCCAGCAAATCGCCCAGCACCCCCACCTGGACCAAGCTGCACACTCTCATCCACATTTTGCTGTTATATACAAGTCATGTTTGAAACAAACATTTAGCATTTCTATATATGTACAGTACAAGAGAATATATATCAAAAATTGTTTTCAATTCCACCTAAAATTGGTACAAAATGCATATTAATATTTCTGTACTGAAATTCATCAATATATACAAACAATTTGATGTCAAAATCTGCTTCAACCTTATTCTTAGTGTGTCATTAATGAACAAAACAGTCTCAATAAAATGTTTGAGAATGAAAGCCTCTCTTTGTACACAGTCAAATTTATTTCTTTGTGACCAGAACAAATCTATCAGCAAGCCAATTATAGTCATGCAACATTAACTATTTCTCAACATTAAACTTTTGCAAAACTCTTAATCTCACAAATTATCACAGGAGAACCCAAGAACTCATCTACATCCCAACCCAATTCATGAGATTATGAATGATTCCGCACTTTACACTCATATTTTAATCAGTTTCCAAGCATTAACATTTACCAGCAAAACCTACTTCTTTATCTTTCCATATACTAACCCGAGAGAGTTTAAGCCTGGAGGGATCAATAGCTTGACGTTCTGCATTGATTCTAACGGGTGGCTGTCTCCCACCTACAGTGGCCCAGCCATCAGCACCTCCTGGAGGTCCTCCCTGGGAGGAACCTGGACCACGCCTACCACCTCCTGAAGATATCAAATTCACCAATACATTTATTTCTCACACTGGAAACAACCACATGCACTCCTATTTACTCTTAAAACACAAAATACTCATTGATGATGAAAATTGCATCACTGAATAAACCTAGTTTTTCTTTCTTTTATATAAATAATTTTCATAGAATTTTGTCTTTTTTGTCATCACTACTTTCTTCTATGGAAGATTAACCACAGTCCTTTCTACTTTCTAGTCTCCATGGATGGTTTTAACATAACAAATGACATTAATAACACAGCCTCAGGAACGAGGAAAGAGTCTGCATCTTATGCACTTAGACTGTTCATTCATCATCGGTCTGTGTTGATTTAGAACATAAATCTTTTAATTGGTCAAAGTCTTCCTCTAAGAATAATTAATAAATACATGTGAAGCTCATCTGCAGAAGCAGGTGATTCAATGCAAGTGAACCAACCTTTTGAGCCACTGCCACTGCCACCTCCACCTCGCTGCTCCCTCTGCTGAGCTACTGCCTGCTGAGCTAAGAGTTGTCTCTCCTGATCCTCTCTCTGTGCTTCTTTATGAATCTGGTCTAGAGTTTTCGGGTTGTTTTCATCTCTCCGTGGGACCCAGCGATTCTACAGGCATGTCATGATTTAATTAATTAATACTTTCAACTTAACAGAATTTGTTTCTTTTATAAAGTACATCCCTTAGATTTAGCCTATCCCTGTACAACTGTAAAATTCCATCACTAGTCCAAAGAGATTTAGATTTTCTAAGACTGAATTTATTTGTATCATACATTCTTGTTTATTTACCTACAAACATTGATGTTGACAAAATGTGACAAGACGGATTTTGAATTTCTGTAGAAACACTCCTATTGTGGCAACTGTTCACTGGATATTGCCGTTTCCTTCAAATGTTCATACTGCCTCAATCCAAATTCAGACCCTTGTCTACAAGATGCTGAATTTAATCATTGTACCAGTTAAAAGCTCATTCATATCTTCAGATGTACCAATGTAGAGAGTGAACTGAATCAGATCCTCATTCCATCATCCAACCCCCCCAACCTCCCCTCAATTATTCTTTCTTCAGCAAACTAGGGTCTAACAGGTTTGTCAACTTGAATCAGAACAATTTGTTTGAAACTTACCATTCTTAATTCTATCACATCTTGCAACATAAATCTCACTCGGGATGATGTCTTCTTATCTTGGGAAATCTTTCCCATTTGTTGAAAGTACTGCTCCATCCTAGGCTGAAAACAAAGAGTGCTCTGGTTTCATCTCAATCAATATTGAATGTACATTTACACATCAGGCAACAGGAAACCATCAAGATCAGTCATCATGTTACTCATATCGTGTCCTCTCTTGCCAATATTATAAACAATGAAATTTTTCAGACTTGCCTCAATGGCAGAATTTTTTATTTACCTTGGCTTTATCAGAATCCAATTCTTTGCCAATGGTAGTAAGAAGACGGCACAGGCACTCCAGCGATTCTAGATCTTTGGCTTTGAGCAATTTGAACACACAGTCATGCATAATGTTCTCCGTTAACATTTTCAATTTAAATAATTCACCAATAAACCTGAAATAACAAACACAAGAAAGAAGATAAACCACTACTTAATGTATCTCTTACTGCCAGGTATAAAACAAGGTAAATGTATCTCTTACTGCCAGGTATAAAACAAGGTAAATGTATCTCTTACTGTTAGGTATAAAACAAGGTAAACGTATCTCTTACTGCCAGGTATAAAACAAGGTAAACGTATCTCTTACTGCCAGGTATAAAACAAGGTAAATGTATCTCTTACTGCCAGGTATAAAACAAGGTAAATGTATCTCTTACTGCCAGGTATAAAACAAGGTAAATGTATCTCTTACTGCCAGGTATAAAACAAGGTAAATGTATCTCTTACTGCCAGGTATAAAACAAGGTAAATGTATCTCTTACTGTTAGGTATAAAACAAGGTAAACGTATCTCTTACTGTTAGGTATAAAACAAGGTAAACGTATCTCTTACTGCCAGGTATAAAACAAGGTAAATGTATCTCTTACTGCCAGGTATAAAACAAGGTAAATGTATCTCTTACTGCCAGGTATAAAACAAGGTAAATGTATCTCTTACTGCCAGGTATAAAACAAGGTAAATGTATCTCTTACTGCCAGGTATAAAACAAGGTAAATGTATCTCTTACTGCCAGGTATAAAACAAGGTAAATGTATCTCTTACTGCCAGGTATAAAACAAGGTAAATGTATCTCTTACTGCCAGGTATAAAACAAGGTAAATGTATCTCTTACTGCCAGGTATAAAACAAGGTAAATGTATCTCTTACTGCCAGGTATAAAACAAGGTAAACGTATCTCTTACTGTTAGGTATAATCTTACTGTTAGGTATAAAACAAGGTAAACGTATCTCTTACTGCCAGGTATAAAACAAGGTAAATGTATCTCTTACTGTTAGGTATAAAACAAGGTAAACGTATCTCTTACTGTTAGGTATAAAACAAGGTAAATGTATCTCTTACTGCCAGGTATAATACAAGGTAAATGTATCTCTTACTGTTAGGTATAAAACAAGGTCTCTTACTGCCAGGTATAAAACAAGGTAAATGTATCTGCCAGGTATAAAACAAGGTAAATGTAAAAACAAGGTAAATGTATCTCTTACTGCCAGGTATAAAACAAGGTAAATGTATCTCTTACTGTATAAAACAAGGTAAATGTATCTTTACTGCCAGGTATAAAACAAGGTAAATGTATCTCTTACTGCCAGGTATAAAACAAGGTAAATGTATCTTACTGCTATAAAACAAGGTAAATGTATCCAGGTATAAAACAAGGTAAATATCTCTTACTGCCAGGTAAAAACAAGGTAAATGTATCTCTTACTGCCAGGTATAAAACAAGGTAAATGTATCTCTTACTGCCAGGTATAAAACAAGGTAAATGTATCTCTTACTGCCAGGTATAAAACAAGGTAAATGTATCTCTTACTGCCAGGTATAAAACAAGGTAAATGTATCTCTTACTGCCAGGTATAAAACAAGGTAAATGTATCTCTTACTGCCAGGTATAAAACAAGGTAAATGTATCTCTTACTGCCAGGTATAAAACAAGGTAAATGTATCTCTTACTGCCAGGTATAATACAAGGTAAATGTATCTCTTACTGTTAGGTATAAAACAAGGTAAATGTATCTCTTACTGTTAGGTATAAAACAAGGTAAATGTATCTCTTACTGTTAGGTATAAAACAAGGTAAATGTATCTCTTACTGCCAGGTATAAAACAAGGTAAATGTATCTCTTACTGCCAGGTATAAAACAAGGTAAATGTATCTCTTACTGCCAGGTATAAAACAAGGTAAATGTATCTCTTACTGTTAGGTATAAAACAAGGTAAATGTATCTCTTACTGCCAGGTATAAAACAAGGTAAATGTATCTCTTACTGCCAGGTATAAAACAAGGTAAATGTATCTCTTACTGCCAGGTATAAAACAAGGTAAATGTATCTCTTACTGCCAGGTATAAAACAAGGTAAATGTATCTCTTACTGCCAGGTATAAAACAAGGTAAATGTATCTCTTACTGCCAGGTATAAAACAAGGTAAATGTATCTCTTACTGCCAGGTATAAAACAAGGTAAATCTCTTACTGCCAGGTATAGGTAAAAAACTGCCAGGTATAAAACAAGGTAAATGTATCTCTTACTGCCAGGTATAAAACAAGGTAAATGTATCTCTTACTGTTAGGTATAAAACAAGGTAAATGTATCTCTCTGCTATACTGTATCCAGGGTATAAAACAAGGTAAGGTATAAAACAAGGTAAATGTATCTCTTACTGTTAGGTATGAAACAAGGTAAATGTATCTCTTACTGTTAGGTATAAAACAAGGTAAATGTATCTCTTACTGTTAGGTATAAAACAAGGTAAACGTATCTCTTACTGCCAGGTATAAAACAAGGTAAATGTATCTCTTACTGCCAGGTATAAAACAAGGTAAACGTATCTCTTACTGTTAGGTATGAAACAAGGTAAATGTATCTCTTACTGCCAGGTATAAAACAAGGTAAATGTATCTCTTACTGCCACATATAATATAAGGTATTTGTAGCTGTACTTGGTGTAACTGGCATGCAAGGCAGAAAATTCCCAGAACATAACAATGAAAGATCTAAAAATGCAAAAAAATTTTACACTATCTGTTCCAAAACAAGTTACTTCATAAATATCATATAATAGTGTCATTTAATATGTTGATGACCAAGTTGGTTCACTTTTTTACCTAATATTTCCTAAAGATCGTCTCCTGGCCTTTGATTCTTCAAATTCTAGATCTGCCTTCAACTGTTCTTTTTCTTCTTCCTGTTTATGTGCAAGCATTCATCAAAATTAAATTGAGAATAATATGTCAACTATCTTTATCATGATCAAATGATGCATCAAAACTGGCTTGAAGATGAAACAGATGAAGCTTGTATTTTTTGTTTTTGGGTGGAGTGTTTGATTATGAACATCTGAATAAATTGTGATAATAATCTTTGTCACCTGTTGCCCATTGTTTTCTGATTTGTCACAAAATAAAGTCAAAGTAAGACATTGAGGAAGGATATAGTGATAAACTTTCTCTGTCAAAATCCATGATGACTGCTGATCAGCCATTTTGGAAATGGCACAACCAGGAATAAAGGGGAGCCTTAATAAACTTTTAGAATGTTCCTGTGTCTGATAATGTCTGCAAGCAGATTATTAATAGAAAATTAACTCCTACTTCAATACAAACCTTTGCTTCCTTTATTTCTTTCCGTCGTCTTTCCATTTCCTGTTCAGTGTCTTTGTCTTTCTCAAACTCCTTTTGACATCTGGTTAGTAATATTGCACGGAAATTGACAAACTCCCCTTGCTTTGTTTTGGAAGGTACCTTGATCTACAATTGTATATGACAAACAACTAACATTGATGTTTATTACCACTATTTTTTTTTTCCGACCTTCAACTCCTTTTTTTGTCATTTTCTGTCTGTCTTGAAATCCTATTAGACTAAATAGATCAAATTAGAACCAGGCTTTCATCACAAAATATTTATATTCAAGAACTTAACAGCAGCCTAGGTCAGAAAGAGTGGATTTTGTTTTAAATAATTTTTGATTTGATAACATAAGCAACACCTACCATTGCCAAGTATCTGCACATGCTTGCATAAGCTACACTGAAGCCAGGTTCACTGACAGCCTGAAAGTACAAAATCATACCCAGTACGACAATGAAATGCCGACTCCTTCAAATTGTATTAACAATTAATTGTCAAAGGAACCTCATATCAAATGATCTAGTTCATCAATCTGGTTCATCTTGAAATTCTCACTATAAAACAGATTAAGACATATCTGGGGAAATCTGTGGTTGTAAATAATTTCATGATATATTATCAGCAAGAGATGTCCGTGACCTCCATCATTGTTATGAGATTATTGTTCTATGGAATCCAGATGTAATTTAGACCACCCATAGAATTAATGAACTAATTAGCTTAGGAGTACTAGATAGGAAACTAACCCATGAAACAGTTGATTCATTTTGGAGTCCTGGAATCAAATGGATGTTTTACTGGAAAAGCCTTGAGGAACTAAAACATATTTGTATATCCTCACAGCATCAACTGGCTTCAGCAATGATTATCATGACTAGAGTTACTAAAAAATGAAACTTTTATTACCTTTTCAAAGACGTGATCTGTAACTCCCTTCAGCCTCTCCTCTGTATCAATCTCCAGTTCAGACATCTGTTTAACCAGAGTTTGAAATTTCTGTGGAGTCAGCTTGTTGAGAATACCTCTTGCCTTTTTATACAATATCTGCAATAAAACAATAAATACCACAGTAGGAATAGCTTAAAAGTCAACAACATTAACACAGTAGTGACAACATAAATACCATGCTATACTGTCCATTGTAAATACCTAACATTGGGAAGGAATGTATTTGTATAAACCAAATTATTGAACTGCAAGATAGAAAAACAATTTCCTTAACATTTTTGATATCTTCATAGGTTCATCAATGCTTCTCCATTGACATAATTGTAATATAACATGCTAAGTAACAAGGTGGTAACTTCTTTTACTGTATATGATCCCAGAGTGACCTTGGCACCCACCACTCAATCATCTCTATTTGTTCTATGCAAGACTGATCTTTCTCTACTTCTCCTCTCCTTCTACATTTTTATCTTAAAACATTTTTAAAAAAGGAAATCCTACATATTAAATCAAGAACAGATTTAACAAGCACTTTCCTAAGACATAGCAATATTTTTCGAAATCCATAGTCTCCAGTGAACAATTTTTGTTTTCTTGAGCAGACACAAAAACACAAAAAAAAAGAAAAGAAAATATGTCAACAGATTCATATTTTAAACTCAAATTCAAATGATATTTAGTTTTTTGTCTTTACAGATTCAGAATGCATAAAAAAGCTCTTTCCCAAGTGTAGTGAATAAATGCCAAAAATCACAATGTAATCAGATCTGCCATTCAAATTAATTTTTGGAATTTTAAGTCAAACTTTGAAAAGCTAGATTTCTGCAATCCTACCCTAGTATGTTACATAATTACCTCAGTCTTCTTGTCTTCTGGATCCTCCACTTTATCTGTGCTCTTCTGTGGTTTCCAAGCGTCCCCAGCTTTGTGTAGTGTGACATCCTGTCCAATGGAGACATGTGTGATGATCCTTTGGGGAGGTCCGCCTATTTTACGACCCTGATTACTTCCACTCTTGGTCATCCTGCCACCTCCACGATCAGAACCACCTCCCTGTATTACAAAATTATTATCTTAAGACATTTGAACATTCCTTTGCAGAAATTGCAATGACCATCTTTACCTGCCAAATCCAAACTGACTGTCTGGAAGCATTTTGTTTCTTCTGATCAATCCCAAAAATCAAACTGGCAAAGGTGGAGACCAAAGGGAACAAGCGTGTATAATCTGAGAGATATCCATTCAGTACTTCTTAACAAATAGCAATAACAATCTTCACTTCATTTTGTCTTTCTTATCTGTCCCAAACCAAAACAGGCACCTCTAGGAATCTAAGAAAACATACAAATGAAATTTTGGAAAAGATCTATGCTGTAGTTTTCAAGAAATAGCGAGAACAAAAATTGTTTACTGATGTATAGAACATTGACACAGGGCAAATTGAATGCTGGGTGTTTTCTTTCCTTAGTCTCATTGACATGTGGACAATTCTTTATGTGCATGGAGTGAACTTACCACTCTTGGTGACCTCACATAGCCAGGTGTGAAGTCAAAGGATCCAGTAAATGATTGGGGGTCACGGGAAAAGGGAGGCCCTCTCCCACCTCCGCCACCACTGCCACCACTTCCTCCACCTCCTGAAGGCTGGATATAGTGAGGCTACAACAACAACCACAGAAATATACACAAACTATTACTGAAGTGTCTGACCAATAGTCCGACTTAGGCCTGACTAATTTTACAAATGGATACCACATCAGTAATGTTATACTAGGTGAAGAGTGAAGCTACTGACCATATCAACATCACAACACTGCCAGACAGCACTTGTTAGCTTCTCATGTTTCAGGTGTCATTATTGAAAATACAACCCTAACTATCTTTTTTTTTTAATTGTTATACACTCCAAAGCAAAAGTTAACCGTCATAACAAAGAAAAAACATACTTTATCTAATATAATATCAGGTAGATCAGGCAGACCAACAGGCTTGGTTGTGGAGTCTCCAGCATACTGCATTTGCAGCAAGAAATCACGGTCATATAATCGCTTCCCTTCTGGATTCATAGGACTCCACTGGTCTAAAAAATTCCATGATGTGTTATTATAATATTGTACATTTTAAAATCAAATGTAGCGAATGTATTCTGGGTACTTAGCACCTACAGGATTTACATGTAAAAGGTTTTTTTTCTACAGGGTTTCAGGCCAATTATGGGTCTCATTTCCAATAGTGAAACCTTTATATTTTTCAAAATCAAAGCATTGAAATTTCCAAAAAATATTGACAGTGTAAAAACTGAAAAAAAAAATAATTGGAATGATGCTATTCAGTGTATATTTTGTAGAGTTGGTCTGGATTCAGTTGTATATTTATTTCAGTGAAGTTTATGGGCTAAGCCCATGTTGTTTGATCTTTATTTGCTCTTTGAAAGTTAGATCTTTTTCCTTCTTTTCTCTTCTCTGTTTTTGCTCTTAATGAACATTTGAACATTCCTTTGCAGAAATTGCAATGATAATCTTTACTAGGCAAAATCCTAGATGGCTGTCTGTCGGCCATTTGATTTTCTGATCAGACCCAAAATCATATGCGCACAACTAGGGACCAAAAAAAACCTGCATGAGAAATTTAAGAAAGATCCTTCAAGTACTTCAAAACATAGTAATAAACTTTCAAAGTCAAAATCATGGCCACCTACCCACCATTTGTCTGATCAGTACCAAAATTAAACAGGCACAACTGGAGATCATGGGGAATTTCATATGAAATTTAAGCGAGAAACAGCGATAACAAACCTCACTGAAAAAATCAAAGATGGCCACCTTTCCACTAAACAACATCATAACCTGGACCTTGATGTATCACTCCACTTAATGAAGAATATCAAGTCTTGATTTATAGACCAAACAGAAATCCTCTTGCCACACTTTTTGTAGTGAAATTACTGTTAAACTTCGACAATACCAAGAAACACATGTTTTAAGCAAGCTTCACTTATTACAACTTCAGCAATTAGATAAAGCAGACTTAGTGTTCTATCTAACCCCACTGATTATCAAGTACAGTGTACTAGGGATTTTCCAGTAAACATCTACTTGACTCTGAGACTCCAATATTAATCACTTAAATCCTTCAAAGTTTCCTATCACGGAGATCATTAACCGATTCTATTGGTTGTGCCTATAAACAACATCTGGAGTCTTGGATCGAGGGAGATAACTATTCAACTGTAACTGCTCTAATAAAATACAGTAAAATGTTGGGATTAGTTTGTGCTTGATAACTGTTTAAACTTCAAATATAGGAAAAAAATGACAGTAAGTCTTTTAAACCATCATGTCTGTGTTATGACAGAACACAGCAATATTGTTATTAATTTCATCAGCGTTAAGGAGTTGATTTTTTTCAGCAGAAGTTGACAAGGACAAATATTAATTATATCATTGAACTTAACACATCACCAAGGCAATATTATTGAAATCACAGAAAAACACCTAAACCCAAACCCCAAGCCCGTATCATTTCAAAAGAATTTATTCTTGTTTCCATAGTATACCAACACAATTATCAATTTATACACAATTCTTTATCAAATGATCAAAATATATAAAAACATTATTCACTAAACCTTGACAGTTTTTGTGTAATTCACATACTTTTTCCATGATGGTATCATCAAAACCTTCAATTTTGCTGACTTGATATTAAAAGCATGGAGATTTACAAATTCACAGCAAAAATGAAACTTTCAAGTTTCATAGTCCTCTATTCCTGGTTTGTAACTTGTTATATCCTTCCCTAACAACTTTTTATCTTTACATATTGAACCACTTTTTTTTACCTTCTTTATATTTATATCTTGTTTCCATCACTTGTTTTTCCTTTTCTGTACTCTCACTGTTTTTCACATTTTCTTTAACATCTTTACTCTTTTCCTCATTCTTCTGATTCTCTTCCTGTACTTTATCTTGTATTTGTACTTCAACTTGTTGCATTTTTTCTTCCTTTTCTGTATTATTTTCCATTTCTTGTGTTTCTGGTACTGTTTTAGGCAAAACTTCAACAGGCTCTGGCAGAGGTGCTGACGGTTCCACTGGCTGTAGTCAAAAAGATCAGTATTACAGTAATATTCATAACATACAATAAGAGTGCTGTAATATAGATTAATGGCAAAGTTTACGTGCCAACGCCAACTACAGTACCAACGAGACCAAGATGTAACCTCTGAAACAATCCACATTTTGACAAAGAAATTGAAGGAAGATAGATAATACAAGATCTGTCTGTAATTCAAACTTACAACCTCAAATAGTTTTTTAATCATTTTTTTGATGTCTTTCCCGAATTCCCATTTAGTCAACAATTGATTTCCAGGAACGTCGCATATAAACCCCCTTTCAGCAGCCAAATTTTTAGGGTGCATCTTCCAAGAGTTTTAAACAAATGCAGCAATTTCAGGAGAAAATTGATAATTCTTTTTGCACTCTGAATTTGGCAGAGAAGCTCATTTAATTGTTCTTTGATTTAATTAAAATTTTATTGTAAAGATATGAGTCGCTTGTCTATGATCTTTTTTTACAGATGCCCTAACACTGGACAAGGAGAAATTAGGGTTTCCTGCTTTACCAATTTTCATTTTTCATAGTTTGATAAAGATTTCTCAGATATTAAGGTTCCTGGTATAATCATCCACAAACCAAGGCATTCAAAGTTGGGTTTTTAAATTGAACAATCGGAATTAAGTCATTCACATTCTTGCACATTTCTTTACATGCAGAAATTAGAACGTCCTGCTCCAAAACAATAGAATGCATTAAGTGGTACCTGAACAACTGTACCAACCTGTGGTTCTAAGAACACATCCTCGTCAGTTTTCTTAGATTCTTCCCCTTTTTTATTTGCTTCCTTGCCTTTTTTCTTTCCCTTGGTATCCTTTTTGACACTAGACACAGGATTAGAATCCTCAAGTCCTGTGGTATTTGTTTGAAACACATTTGGCACCTTGTCTTTGTCACTTAAATCCTCCTGTTTAGAGGTATTACTATCAAGTGTTTCCTCCACTTCAACATTTACCAGATCCTTAGTCCTTGGATTATCACTCAGGGTTGCTACAATGTCAGGTTTACAGTCGGAGTCGGAAGGTGTTGGAGGTTCCACTGGGGTGACCACCTCATCAACTACCACTACATTCTGGTTTTCTGATTTCATGCTATCGACCACTGATGAGTCACTTGGCTCTTGTGATGACACAGATTGAACATCAACACCAGAATCTGACACAAGTGCAGTTTCTCCTTGTGTAGCTGGAACTGAATTGTTTGTGTTTGAAAGACTTGGGTTGGATTCTATAGTTACACTACGGACTGAATTTGAAACCTCTCCAGATTCTATTGAAACTTCTGCTAAAACTGTTGTTGTAGCTTCCTTAACTGGTGGACTTATAACAGGAGTGTCTGTTTCACTAACCACAGCCTCAACAGGGGAGTGGGATTCCTCTGGAACTTCCTCACTGCTAGCACTCACTGGTGCAAAAATTTCCGCAGGTGTAAATGATGGCACATCGTGTGAAAGTTTGGAAGACAGCCCAGGTGGTTCTGCTGGAGTTTCTGGCTTCAATGTAGCAGCCACCTGAGCAGCAAACACAGCTGCGATATCACCTTGGTGACCGTTTGGCGATTCTGATGGTGGAGGGGGGCTCTGAAATAGAAGAAAATTAGCATTTTGGGATTTTGTAATCATTTTCCTTTAGTCTATGCAAATTTGTCAATTGTTGATTTCTATTACTTATTTTCTATTGTTGGCTCATCACTAAACAAAACCTATCAACATTGTCCACTTTCTATCAATGTAACAGCCTATACCTCCAGAAAATTGACAGGACATTCCAGAATTGTCATCATTTTGGGTAAACACAACTTTTTTCCTTAGAGGAATAGAACATTTTCATCTAAAGAAAATAATACCATATCCTTTTCATCCTTCATGAATTTCATTTTAGAATGCCACATTCTGGTATGGGCAAGTAGATAATATCATTATAATCAATGTTATCAACAGTCAAAAAGCTAATTGGACTAAAAGCGATATATTTTGACAAACTTTTTTGTAGCAACCAACTGATTTACCAGAAAACTTAATATCTACGCTAGAGATACAAAAGCCATGCTTACTTCAACGAAGGGACTTGATTCTGATTCCGACACAGCCTCTCCTTGTGCTATAGCTCCAGGAGAAGGACTGGAGCCTGGAGTCGTAGAACGGCCTGGGCGAGGAGTGTTTAATATTTCACTTGATATATCTTTCCCAGTATTTGGATCTACAATCTTGATCATGTGTTTCTCTCTCTTGGACTGTTGAGCCGTTTGTTGAGTAACCATGCCTCCTGATGGGGGCCTTTGAGACTGGGTAGGTTGCTGGTGGTAAACAGTGATGGGATTAAATTGTTGATTAGCTGTCTGATTTGCAGCCATCGGATAGGTCATCCCAGTCATTCCTTGTTGTGAGGTCTGCATGGCAAACTGAGGGGTATTCATTCTGTTACCAACCTGCTAGACAACAGACAAATTGTATAAACCCATGGTTCCCATTTAAAGTTGGTTGCAGACAAAACTAGCCTGTTTTCATTTCCTTTGAATATTTTTTCCAGCTTATAGAATCCATCCATGCATACATTTTACTTGGTTATTATAGAAAACCCACCCTCTATTTGTAAATTGTGAGGAAAGGCATCTAATGGCTTAAGCAAACAGTTTTGATGATAAAAATGCAATCAACATATATCTGAGATACAAAATTACGAAGTCAGGATAACTTGTTACAGTGAACATTGTTCTTCCTTATACATCTTATTGCTAATTTCTGCATGTGATAAAGAAAGTTTAAATAACTTTGATATTTGGATTTGACCAAAATTGTGTTTAAAATGACAATGTACATTGTTTTTTGGTGCACAAAGCACATGTTTTAGGTCATACAAAATGTCCATGTATATAGATAGCATCATTTTATAAAAGAAGATGAAATAAATGTTTTTCTACTTGTGTATGATCCTATTTGTATATTTTGAAATAAATATGTTAAAACCAAATCAAAATTTTAATGTAACACAAAATTTATTATTAACAGATAACCAAAAGGTTAGTTATTTGGGATACATACCATCATAGAAAGCTGAGGCTGGACAATGATCGGTGTACCACCTGGGGGTTGAAACGTTCCTGGTTGATGGTTTGGTGCCATGTACATTGTCTGGTACATTGGCTGGTTAGGAGGCTGACTAATTGGAGGAGGGCCAGTGTACCTAGTTTGCCGTGGCTGCGTTTGGCCAGAGAAAAAGGGCTGCAATAAAACAACTTTAAACTCAGCTGTTTCTCTCTCTCTGGTGTCCGAATAATTCAGGAAGATAGAAAGCTATGAAAGCTGAGCTTAGCTTGCAACACTAGAAAAGCCAATGCCCAGTATATATATTGTCTAATTTTCACTTCAGCTATTCTTCATCAAATTTAATGTGCAGATACCAAGTATTGTCCACAAAAATCATTCAATCTGTATCGGCAACAACGATCAAAATCATGAAATCATAACTAGTCTTAGCAGACTTGCTATTACTGTTTTGCTATCATGTCAACAGTTACTTGAGGACATAGAACAAGTGACAATTCATAATCTTGCAAATTACTGCAAGGATTAATGTTGATTACAGGATACAAAGGTACAATTCATACCTTCCCCTGGGCTTTTTCTGAAGACCTCTTTAAGTAGGTCTCTTTTTAGTCTTTTGCTCTTGAAATTATTTTACATTTACAAACAATTTGCAAAAGCTGCTGCTACATAGTGAAAATTTGCTTCCAATTCAGTTAAATTCATTCCTAAAACAAGACAGAAGGGTCCCATCCTAAATACAATGAAAAGACACTGTTCACCTACCGGTGGAGCACCTCTCATTCCTGGTGTTGGGTTTTGATACATATTTTGCTGAATAGTTCCTGGAGTTCGCTGTCCCCCAAAAGTTTGGGATGTGGTCAGCTGACCCTTATCTAATTCATGGGGATTACTTTGTGTTTGCTGCTGCGGTTGCTGCTGCGGTTGCTGCTGCTGTTGCTGCTGTTGGGGTATCAGATACTGAAATAAGGAGAAAAAGTATTAAAACATCTGAAATCTGTTTTCAAGATTTCATGGAACAACTAGAACTCACTCCTGATTTGAGAACTTGCATGTTTTTATACATGGCAGATAAACGTAAAAAGACAAGTTTACTAAAAATATTTCTTACAGGTTTTTTTTAGTCTACTTAAAAGGTCTCTGGACTGGAGCCATACTCCCATTCTGTTGATAATGTGTTCATAGTGTTGGTAGTGTACTCAAAAAAGTACAGAAGAGTTGAAACAAGTTGGAGTCCAAGGCATAAAAACATTTACAGTAAAATGCCTGTCAAGAGAATGTGTTAATACAACATTTCTTACAATAAAAGCAAGCCTGTATCGGACAAATATTTACTGAAAGATACAGATATCCAAGTTCCACTTCAGATTTTCTTTTTCATAATTTTTTATCTCTTCTGTTTGTTCAATCAATTCAATTTAAAGCCCCATCTGTGATGAAATGAACTTACAACTTGAAAACATAGGTAAAATTTTGCAAGAGAAAATCTTGTTTTCAAAACTATACTTTCCATATTTTGTCCGACAGAATCACTTGTAAAATAAGTGGTGTTGGCCAGTCTATAAGCAGTGAGGACTATCTTACGAAAAATTATAAATTTTGTGGTTACATATCTATATATTTCATCTAAAAATGTCAGGGCTCGCGCTGGCGATCGCCAATGGCGCCATTGGCGAAAGTGAAATGAGATTGGCGATTTCAAATTTCTATTGGCGAAAATGCCGATTAGAAACATTTCCAGTCACCGATGACTGTATAGAGAAAAATCACTGGCGTTTAACTTATTTGTAACGAGTGACACAGGTAAATTTTGCTCCGACATCGTTGTGTACTACACGGTCACGGCTGACTGACTCCCGCAGCTGGGGCAAGGTCAGCTATCGGAACTCTTTTGTGTTTTTGACAGCAACGTTTACCTGTCTAAACAGCAACACGCCTGTAATGAAAATCGCCAATTATCCAATGATGTCTCCATTGTCTCAATCCGAGATAGCCTCTGCCGTGAACAACAAGGTAAGTTAGCTGAAGGAAAGATGTTGTTTTATCGGGAATTGGCTTACGGTAGGTGGATCATTAGGTGTGTCGATGTCGTTAATTGGGCACGAGTTTGTGATTTCTGCAGACATAACTTAGTAAACTAGTGCATTTGAAAGGGCCCGAAATAGGCTTCTTAACCTTTTTGATCGACTATTAAAATAGCAAGAAACACAAGATATAATTTTGTTGTTTTTACACTATGTTGCCGATTTTGTTTTATATTTTTGTACATATTTTGGTCACATCAGATTTGGCCCTTCACTAAGATAGATTGTTAGATGAAATGGAAAACGTAAACTCCCCTTTAGTGATAGGGATGGGAAAGTACCCAGATTGTCATCATTTGGTTTTAAGACACCATCTATTGAAAAGGAAAATGACAGCCCTGATCAGGTTACTAACAAGGGCAGTAGTTCAAGAAAGCTCATGTTTTGTGACATATGTATGAAGGCATTAGTTAGAAATAGTTTCACTGATGGCTGCAGTAAGAAAGAGTGCTTGGTTAAGCATGAGAAAGGATCAGGTATATACAACTATTCATCATTTATGAACAGAAAATTATGTAAATTTAGATTAAGTAATTCAGAAATGCCTAGAGGATGGTACAATATAGTTACTCATTACAGCCTGCTTGGCACATGAATTAGAAACACAATCTTTTAGTTTAACGATTATGTCTTTATTATCTCTGAAGTGTTTTTAAGATATATATTACTTAGGAAGTTACTGTAATAAGTATAATACTTTGATGGTGTAAAATAAGGTTCAATGTAATCCTGTATCTCTCTGCAAACGTCCAATTCTATTCTAAATTTTATTTTCAATTTTACAGAAGAGAACTCTCACTCTGCTGCTTTGGCAACCCAACAGCAAACTGTCGAAATGCAGAAGGCCTGTAATAATTCCATGTTTATAAACTCTTTTACCATATACTGTATTATGTTTTGATGTATTGTTGTTAAAACAGTGAATAAATAATGTAATTATATAATTAGCATATGTGTTATTATTATATGAGGGAATTAAGGGCTCGTCGGGTGAGGGTGAGGGCAAGTTCCGGAATCTGTTCGCGCGCTTATAGCAAAAAAAATTTGGATTGGCGAAACTGAATTTTGACCCAGAGCTAGCCCTGAATGTGACCTAAATGTGTAAAACTATTGAAATCACATGAACTTTGGGCTACAGCCTAAATATAAAATAAAGAAATGAACTGAAAACCATCGATACTAGGTAATCAACACACATTACAACTGGATATAACCGAGCCATTAAAAACATCAAATCCATGCCTGATTGGGACACCATTTAACTGACAGTAGTTAAAAACATCAAATCCATACCTGATTGGGATAGCTTATGTTCACTATCCCTTGTGGGTAAGAAGAGTACTGCTGTGTAACTTGTTCTTCTGGACCTCCTGAAAGCCATAAAATACATTCATTTGTAAAACTTAACATTTTTATGCATTAAGAAAATGGTGATTGATGAGTCGGAAAACCCTGAACATTACAATTCTCATAAAATATACTCACGATGAACAGGTGGTGTTGTAACTCTAGAGGGTCTGATTAAGGTTAAGGAATCTTTCACAAGAAAACTGTCCAACACCTACCAAATAAAAGTTGTTCAATGTCTTTCTCATTCTTTTGTTAAATCCCTGAAATCCTTAATGACATGTTCACAATTCAATGGACAGTCCCCTCCTTTTAAGTAGATCATTTTAAACAAGTGATAATTTAACATCATTCTCTCTCTTCAATCTCTTGCATTCAAGAGTGATTCCTACAGTACTAATTACTATAAAGAAAACTTCTAAGAAAGAATTTCATACACGTCAAATGGAGTATGGATAGTCACCTTCCACCATGCCACATATGACTTATGTTGACCTTTTTAAAGAAATAAGGTCAGGGCTGTGATGTAGCTTACTTTGCATTTCACCTTTTGTGGATAAATAATTGCACATCCTAGCATGTTCTCTTAATTCTGTGGCAATTTCTTATAGAATAATATCTTTTGAAAGTCATTACATCACATATGGTACACTTAAATTTCTCCAAGTTATGTTCCCAGAATATCTAAACTTTCAGAATCTTGCGGCTGTTATTTTCCTACAGAAAATGTACTTATGACATAAATGTACTTGCTCAAGTACTGCATGTAGAAATCGACTAGCATTTCACGTATGAACTTACTGCACTTTTTAACTTTAATTCCATTAGCGATGCATCTGTGTAGAATGTGGACTACTTAACAATAATTTCATCTACAGATTTCTTAAAGACCTAATTAATGGCAACAAAAAGTATATGTGTGAACAAAAACCATTGGACATTGCTAAATCAACTATTGATGTAATTTTTTAATCTCTTTCTGTTTGCAACAATAATCTCTACTTTCTTAAAGACCTAATTAATGGCAAAAAAAGATATGTGTGAAAAAAACCATTGGACATTGAAAAAAATCATAAAAGAAAAAAATCATAAAAGATTAAAGATACTGGTCTTTGTGTAAAACTTAAAGTCTACTCGTAAGCAAAATTCTCAAAAATACAAGAAAGAGATACCAAAAGATAGGATGCCTGGCTATATTTGGAGAAAACCACTTTTCCATAGAAATGTGGTTATTTTAAGAGGAATTACATGTTGTTCGGCACAGAAATGTGATTCTGTAATTACAGTATTCAGATACAAAAGATGCATATTCTTTTACTTTCTAGAGGGTTGTAATGTTACCCTTTTGACTTATTTCAACCTTTTTAAAAGTGGCATATTTATTTCTTTACTTTTACTGTATTCTTGTAACAACAATTTCTATATCAAACAGATAATTTTGTTAAGCAATGCAATATTAGAAAAAGTGAAGAATTACACTTGATTTTGCATATATCTTGTCTCTTTTACAAGAACCATAAACTGACCCATGTGAAAATCATAATAATGATTTCTCCAGAGGAAATACTTCTTATATCAAATAATCTTAATACAATATATTACATATGACCTCACCTTTCTTTAGTTTTCCAAGGTATTTGCAAGAAAACATTTTGTCAGTACAAAATCCTTTGTACTACACAACCCACATGCTTATGTGATCCAATGACTCATTGATATATACACAATTTTATAAATAACGTCACTCGAAGCAGGAACTTCTCACAGACATGCTATAAAATTAGAGTGCATTTCCAAAAATAGTAAAAACCCGTATATTCAAATATTTTAGGATCAAAATTATTTATTTTGTTTTAAATTATTTCCATATATTAATCATAATCGTCAGCAATTCATGGTAAACCTAGACATAACAAAGAAATCAATATGTAAATTACGTGTCATAGTCTACAATGTTTCAATACCGGCCATTGAACGTGGTCGGCCATGCCGTGTACGCATGACCCAGCCGGTAACATTTCCTGTCTCGGTATTGCATTGCCCCACGTGTAAAAACATTTTGACATTTACTATATGTTCAAATGTTGTGCGCGATATCAGAACTCGGGGTGTACACTTGTACAGTTTTTCATGATTATCTAGATCCAGGAAGTCGGACGGAGACTAGTACATGTGGCCCATTTCGTCACATATGCACGCACCACATACCAAAACATGGCCCCGCCTACATCTAGTCATTTTGAACCGATTTTCAATCAACTGGAGTTTAAATTGAACAGACATCAATGCATATTTAAAAAAACAATCACCATAGCCATAAACGGTATTCTGAATTAGACATATTTCACCTTAAATCAACTTGAAAATTCAACACATGTTGCTCGGGATTTTCCTTAGAAACTAGCCCCTTGTTGGACTTACCGGCAGCTGTTACGATAAGTAACTGCGCAGAATATGTTAACTACAAATCCAATCATCCAATAATTCTAACAATCGGTAAAGGATACACAATGTTCCTTGGTTGTGAGTGTCCTGGTAACTGAACAGCAGCTGAAACTGGTGGTTTCACCTTCTGCACATTCATTTCAGCGTGAAAAGGGAAGCGATGAAGTCCTTGGGTAAGGACCCTTCGGAGGCTTGTTTCCAAGCACTGTCTCCTACATGGAAGGATACAAACATGAAAAATGTAAAGATCGAATGCTTAACTTTCATACTTACAGCTCCAATAAGTGATAAATGTATGTTTCAGTACAAGATGGCGTTAGATTGTAATCGAATAAGAAAAATATGGCTACCTATTTAGGTCTGCAAGGAGACGGCTTATAACTCGGATGTTTCCGTGAATGATCGAGTATTTTCGTCACTAAAGGAGGTCAAAGGTCATCGGGAAAATGGCGTCCTAGGAGTATGGTAGACTGAACGTGATTTTTTTTGACGATCGACATTATCTTTCTCATTCATCTTCGTGTTCTTCTTAGCTTTAAAACATGAGTAGGTAGTACGATGTGATTTTGTTTTGATATGAAACGAACACCGTCAATCATGACTTGTTTGTGATTTCTTTCTCGGCCGTTTGTTTATTTACATTTCGACAGATTCTGCAAGCAGATTTATTTTATTGCAATAGATTCTTTAAACCTATTTGGAGTTATAAATCTGACTGCAAAATTTCATTCGAGCAGCCATACTGCTAGTGTTCGTCCCTCTCGCAATATTCATTCAGCGAACTTGATACTGCTATGTCAGAATCACATGCTGACTTACGAGTGTGACCTCATTGTCCTCAGAGTATCTCGCTTGTAATTAAGGTCCAATAGGCTAATACATCGAATGTCTACCCTACGTAGCACAGTCGGAGACGGATAATTATCGTAATCACCATTTTGTTTTGTATTAAGCTTAGTAGTCTATTGTAAACGGGGACTTATTTTATCAGTGATGAGGATTGAGCGGCAAGTAAGCATGTTTTTTTTTAAATGAGACTTGCACACTTACAAGATTTTACATGTAATTTGATACTTTATTTAAAAAGTGGTCTATATTTATTAGGGTGTATAGATACAATGTAGAAAGTTCAGAACCCTCGACTTGAAATATTTTTAGTTTTTTGATACAGTTAAACCAGTAATTATTTTTGTTTAAAGTGTAAAACTGCTTTTTTTTCAAATAAGGACAGAAACGTTCAGTCATTTATAATATAATGAGACTGAGTGCCCCATATGTGGCCTCAGTGAGCCCTAACATTCAGTGTTATAATCATTTATATATATTTATGACAGATCTATGGCATCACTGCAAAGTGACACCTAAGGCTTTTTATTAACTGGATCAATGCCCTATAGAATAGAGCTATAATCAATCAGATGTTACCCCAGGTAAAACTCCACGTAATCACAGCAGTGTTACACAACATTATAACTAATATACTGTGATAAGATGTTCTGTAAATATATAACTATATTCATGTTCAAAATATAATTTTGTATATTAATTTCTGCTGTTTAGATTTAGAAATCAAACTGACTTATGACTAATACTTCCTGTTAAGATTTTGATACCAAAATCACGTGAGTAAGTAAAGAAAAAACCAATCACAGCTTTTCACTTGTACTTAAACCAGGAAGATGCATTGTTTTATTGACAAAAGGTGTAACCATGTGTGTAAATCACATTCAATGAAGTTAAATTAAGAGCTGTAAATTCACTTTACTTATAAATAATTATCCTGTAAAATTTCACTAATCCAACTAATAAGACGGTCTTGACAAAATTTTCAAATTGAATTTTCATTATTTATTATGTAGGTTCCCCTTGGTCCCTATTCAAATCGTGCTACGTCTGATCCATCGTCTGTCCGTACATAAAGTTCTTGTTATCGCTATTTCTTGAAAAGTACTGGATGGATCTTTCTCAAATTGCAGTTGTAGGTTTCCCTTGGTCCTTAGTTATGCTCATTTCATTATGGGTCTGTTAAAAAAATAAAATGGCTGACAGGCAGCCATCTTTGATTTTGACTTTGAAAGTTTGTTGTTGCTATTTCTTGAGAAGTACTGGATGCATCTTTCTTAAATTTTCATATGTAAGTTCACCTTGGTCCCTAGTTTTGCCACTTTGATTTTGGGACCAAACAAAGACGAAACAAAATTGGCTTCTAGACAACCATTTCAGATTTGGCAGGTAAAGAATATTTGTCAATATTTCTGCAAAGGAATCTTCTAATATCTTATCATTAAGAGCAAAAACAGAAAAGAAAAGGGAAAGATCCAAATTTCATAGAGTATATAAAGACCAAACAATGGTGGGCCCCAAGATCCCTCTGGGATCTCTTGATTTTATAAGGTTGTCAAGTGCAATTTCACCTTTGTGTTGAGTGATTATATATCAATTTTCCTTATTGATTTCTAAAAAATATTGATTTCATCTCATTCAGGCTTTCAATTAACATCAAGCAAATATGAAATTATCTTTATCACCTATCAAGATATTTCATCACCAGTTCCCCAGATTTATATGAAATCTTATAGTGCATCTGATATATTGAAGTTGAGATTTCTTTTAATTGAAACAAAATGATTCTACCAGTACAATCAATCATAGGCTTTGTGATGGTATTTGACACCAGTAATAGTGTAACTATATAACATTGATCTGACTCCTCCTTGCTAACAGATGTTTTTCTCAAAACGAAGAAGAAAAAAATATCAGGAAGACCAGCTTATGTTTTGAAATATGACAATAATCTCCAAATTTATACAAAAGCAGACTGCACTGAACATATGGATGAAAATAGTAGTAATGTAAAGTAACAAAGGTTGGACTGGGGGAGGACCCAAGGTAACTCTGACAGTTTTCTATTTTTTGCTGGTATCTTATATTTCCATTTTCAAAACCCTACAAAGCAACATGAAAATCATTGTTAAATTTCTTCTTGTTACAAAAACATTGTCCATTTTGAGAAGTAATGATTAAAATCAACATGGAAGGAAGGTATTGATTAACTGCAGTATTACTTACTTGTATTAAAATTGTCTGTCTTATGAGCCACATCACCACTGTAGACCTAGCTTTCCTTTAATGGTCTTGTAGGTGAGTATTTTCAGAACACAGGTTGTACAGGCCCTGGGGACAAAGTTGGACAGGTGTGAGAGATAAAGATAGTCCTGAATAATGCAGTCAACTAAATATATTGAAAATGAGGTGAAAGATTTTAATCACAGTTAATATTTAACTTCCAGGGTTTCAACCAGTAACTGCTTACTAAATCTATCCCTAAGTTCTTGTGTTAAATATGTATTTACTTTCCTTGAAAACTTTTATGTAATTTATCGAAAGGTCTTTTTAAATGTGATAAAATCATATGTTCATTTAGCAGAATTCTTTTTTTTTATTTTGAGCATAAACAGAAGGTATTCCTGCACAGACCTTTTTTCAGTTTCAATTGATATTTGTATTTATTTCAGAGTTTCCTCTGAAGGATTTTATAATCGTAATGAATATGCCCTGGACAAGACACCTCTAAACTGAAGTACAAGAATTGCCGGGTATCAGTACCACTCTAGTGTTAGCCCTGCACCAACCATGCCTGGACTGTACACATGGATGTTAGGAACAGCTAGGAATGACTGGAACCACTTGGAGAATGTAGCCAATAATTCTCAGCCAAACAATAACTGTAGTGTGCAATGGCCAATGATTATCCTCCGGGACTGTGTACATAACAACAATGATGTAGCTTCAGATGTTTTAGGCCTTGTGTCCTTGGTGTCATGGATGATTGTCAGTATTCCGTATGTACTAGTTACATATTTCTGATTAGAAACCCTTACAAATTCAGGTTCAGATGAAGTCCATTCTCTGGGTGTATTTATTTATTCTTGGTGGATACCTTGTGAAATTATTATCCAATTTTCTTTAAATGTTTTCAGCAAATTTCACTCAGAATTATGGGATTGATATTACAATTTCCCTCACATTAAGGTCACTTTTTATGTGAGGTTAGACTTTTCAAACTGTCATCATCTCTGAGTTCTTTCTTGAGAAGTACTTGATTAATCTTTCTCATTGTTTATAAAATTACCTTTGGTCCTTTGAATTATATTTATTTGTAAACCTGACATATAACAGTAGAATGATCGCTGGATCTTGGTTACAAAAAGATGATTGTTAATGATAGAGGTGAATGTTTAATAATTGCAGACAAATGGTGATGAATTGTCGGAATATTCGTGGTGTTGAGGGTGTTTCCATCCTGCTTATTCTACAATGGACTCTCGGAGATGCAACAAATCTTATTGGTTCTATTCTGACCAATCAGCTACCTTTACAGGTTTGAGTTATTTTTTCCCATTCCTTATGATTTTACAGTCTGAATTAACTTGTGTTTTTTAAAAAAAGAACATCATATGGATGTGAATTTTAACCCAGGCCTATTCAAATCGCTCTGTGTCTTTGGTCTGTCGTCCATCTACCATAAACAATTTTCATCATCAGAAGGTGGGCTATTCAAATCCCCCTACGTCTGTGGTCCGTCTGTTAAACAATTTGCGTTATCACTATTTCTTGAGGAGTACTGGAAGGATCTCTCTCAAATTTCATATGTAGGTTCCATTTTTCTCTAGTTGTGCCCATTTGATTTTGGGTCTAATCGGATAAACAAACTGGCCGACAGACGGACATCTTAGATTTTGACTTTGAAAGTTTGTTATCGCTATTTCTTGAGAATTACATAGATCTTTCTCAAATTTCATGTGTATGCTTTCCTTGATCCATAGTTGTGCCTGTTTGATTTTAATATTGATCAGAAAAAACAAAATGGCATACAAGCGACCATCTTTGATTTTGACTTTGAAAGTTTGTTACCACTGTTTCTTGAGAACTATTCTATAGATCTATCTCAAATTTCTTGTATAGGTTCCTTTAGGTCCCTAGTTGTGCCTGTTGAGTTTGGGACTGATCGGAAAAACAAAATGGCTTCCTGGCACCCAGTTTGGATTTGGTAGGTTAAGATCATCATCGCTATTTCTGCAAAGGAATGTTCGAGTGTCTTATCATTAAAAGCAAAAACAGAGAAGAAATGAGAAAAGAAGGGAAAAGATCCAACAATTAAAGAGCATATAAATATGGTGGGCACCAAGATCCCTCTGCGATCTCTTGTTTTGTAATAGAGGGCTTTGAGATTTATTTCATTATTGTGACAATTGCTGACGAATTTCTGAGATTCATAGCTGTAAATTATACTGTTTGATGACAATAACCATGTTTTACACTGTATTTTTGATTTGTTTAAATCTAATTCAAACTTCTGTCAATAACACCTTTTTTTCAGATTTACCTTGCTGTATATTTTGTGTTTGCGGATATTATTCTGTTTTGTCAATACCTTTATTATCAAATATGGAAATGGAAACGCAGTCAATGTAAGTACACAAATGAATAAAGATGTATGTGATTGTTTTATTGTTTGTTAGATTTTGTTGTGTCACACTTTTCCACTTCTGCATGGTCGGAAGTCATTATTGGGATAAACTTTGATGATATGCAGTTGAATGATGTTTTCTGTTTTAAGAAGGTTTTAATTTTCGCCTCATTTTGAACTTAAATATTTTTAGATATATTTGACTGGCTGAAGTTTTTAACTCACCTTGTCCAAAGTAAGCTTATCCCATACTCTGAGCATCAATCATCCACCAGCTTTTTCTACATATCAGTTTTGTATTTAATGGTGGGTCTCAGCCCCCTGAGGCTTTTGCCCAAATTTGGTGTCAAGCATTCTTGAATGAAGGAGAATAAATTTTGTAGAAATGGTGGTCATGGTGGCTGGGTCCAGCGAGGGCAGTAGAGCACACTCTTTGTAATCCCTCCTGTAGGAAGTAATGTTTGGCCTGATCTGGTCTGAAGCATTCTTGAGTGAAGGGGAATCAATTTCATATATAATCAGTGGGTTTTGAGCTGTGGACAGACTGAGGAAATCGAACAATCCTATTACTTCTGTAGGAAGGATAGAATTTTGCCCAAATAAGGCCTGATGCATCCTATAGTAAATTGAAATTAATTTAGTGTAAATGATGGGGTCTATGTCCCTTAGGATTGGAGGGGCGAAGACCCATTCACAGGGGAAATTGAGCAAGTTGTTTAAAATTCTTTTGTAGGAAAGGCAATTTGGTATGAAGCATGAATTGCTTGTTTCCATTGGGGAAATAAATATATTGTGTGTTTGAAATTTAGAACTCTTTTTTTTTCCCCTTTTGTTTTATGAAGCAATTTCAGTCTAACAAAGCCAGGTGAGTGGTATAGGCCCCATGGGCCTCTTGTAAGATCGACCATGTGCGTTGGTTTCCATTTCTATCAAGGCTTGATGAGGAAAACACATTTCACAAACCATGATTTACAGAAATATTTCAAGGGTTAAAACCATTCAAGTATATTGACAGATTACTAACTTTGTTAGTTTAATGAGCAGTGTAATAAGGAAAGCAGTTTTTATATTTCTTGTAACTATTGCATCTGCAGTGGCAAATGAAGTGCAGCCTAGCGGTCCTGCCCGGATAGTCCTATGTTTTACCGGCACTCTCCTCTCCTTCAACACTCTAGGGGCAATTCTTGGAAGGTTAAGGGAGGTACCAGATGTCAGTGGGAACATTGTCCATATCCCCAGGCCTGGAAGTAGACGGCTGATGTCGACCAATCTCACTCATGTCCAGTTTTTCAAAGTAAGCTAGGTCAACATACAAGCTCTGATAGATTGAACATGTTACATATCAACTGGACCCAAACTCATGGACATAAGGAAATTGTGTCTTAGTATTTAGGCTTGCCAGGTTTAGTATGGCTCAAGTTTTTACTGTAGTGTAACATTTTTTTCTTCAAACTTTAGATACACAGTGTATATATTTTTCAGAAAAGAATCACCAAATAGTGCAGTGTGGATTAATAACTGACATTTATCACTACATTATTATCTATGTAACCATTTGTAGGTTTATTTTGACTGATTCAGATTATGTCTAATGTCAGATAAAGGGAGTATGTCTTTAACTTCAACAAATCAAGCAAATCAGGGAACCTCAAGCTGTAAACAGAAATCTTAAGTGAGTGAAATGTATATGTCTCACTTATGTTGTACTTAGTTTGTAACACTAAAACAAAATCCAAAATCTATTTTAATTTTGATGTTAATTACTGATATCAAAGACTTTGTATAGAGAATGAGGTATGTTTAAAATCTATTTCAATTTTGATGTTAATTACTGATATGAAAGACTTTGTATAGAGAATGAGGTATGTTTAAGATGCTGATTTTTATTTTGATGTACTGTTAATTACTGATATGAAAGACTTTGTATAGAGAATGAGGTATGTTTAAGATGCTGATTGTTATTTTCCCAGAACATTTTTCAGAGCATGTAATTGCCACTTTATCCAGAACTTTCATTTGTGCTAGGATGATAAAATTTGGTGTATACATTAGTAAGAGAATGTGCAGTGTACCCAAGGCCAGAAACCCTTGAATTAAAGAATTATTGCCCTTTGTTAAAATTCATGGAGTATCAATCAGTTTCACTGATATTCTTTTGACATCTGTTGTTGAATGTAGGAAATTTATGTTTATCAAAAGTGTTTAAATTGATCCATGTCCATGTACAACAATGGTGATATTAAAAAAAGTGACTAGTATTGTCATACTCAGAGATGTCTCTTACAACGCAATACATTTTACAACGTGAATTTCAGCTCATGGATTTTCCTGTGGTTTTTTTCAGAACATTCAGGATGTGTCTGGCTATGTCATTGGAATAGTGTCAAGTATATTCTATGTGGGCTCTCGACTTTCACAGCTGTATAAAAACGTGAGTCTGAAAAGAAATCATCCAGCAAAGTAAAGCACAAGTATCACAAAATATGTTTTGAACAGTAGTTTGTTTTTGACTGTGTTGCATTTACTTTAGAAAATAGCATGGATATTTTCATATGAACCTAATCGTTGGTTTCAGTATAAGAGGAAGTCAACAGAGGGTCTATCTGTTATGATGTTTATATTGGCGGTCCTTGGAAACATAACATATGGTTTGTCAATCCTGGTGCGATCACTTGATGGAGAATATGTCCTGAAACACCTACCCTGGCTAATTGGCAGCTTGGGAGTCATCTTTCTCGATCTTTCTGTATCCTTTTTTACCTTGTAGCTTCGACTTAATATTGAACTCAAAGTAAAACCTGAGGAATTGCTGCTCCTCCTTTTTGATTGGATTTAAATCTACTTTTTAAGAACGTCCTGCATACCATTTGGTATCCTAGAAACTTTTCCTTATCAACACTGAATGGTTGTTGGTGCTTGTTTTTAATTATTTATATGGAATCTTAAATCCTGTAGTTTTTCATCTCAACAAGCAATGTTACATCAGATGAGACAAAATTATACATGCAGCTAAATCTTGATAATTGTTATAACTCAAAGACCTGTTGAATTAGAAGTATTTCGTTTGTCCTGTCCACACTTAACACTACACATCCGAACTTACTTAAATTGACTACTCTGATAACAAAAAGTTTTCTCAAGGTCCCGCCAACTTTGACAGATATCGAGGTTTCTACTGTAAATTATAAATGTAACTGTTAAATCAAACTTTAACCACATTTTGATTTGTTAAATTTTGACATACTACATAATGTAAAGTAAGAAATTTTCAAATAATATCAAAATCAAGCAATGCATGTTGCTGTGGTTTGAAAAAAAAAAGTTCCTTGACATATACCAAGCTGCTGTGTCAGTTTAAGTACTACGGTGTGAGGGACTTTGATACTCTTTCCAATCAGCCATTGGTGAACAATGAGATCCTGAACCAGGCTTCACCACTTGACTATACAGAAGCCAGATTAGACCCTAATGGGATTGTCAACTGAGAGAAAACTTCTTAAGACATTCAGGCAAATAAAAAAAAGTGTGTTTTTAAAAAAAGTGAACCTATAAAATCTACAGAGATGTATCGTTACCAGTGATGATTGAATGACTTTCAGAGGTAGGGATCCTCAGATTAGGTAGTTATTTAAGATAAGTGAGTGATTCCTAAGTACTATTTAACGATACAGATATACAGGTAGACGAGGGATTTAATGAGAACGCCATAGTAATAAGTAGAGGCAGATTCCAACATAACTGAGGATTCTTACCAGATAACCCCTAGAATTTACAAAAGTAGGGCATCAAGTCTTTCGTAACATAGCTTTCCGATGTGGAGAGAAAAGATGTTTACAATGTAGATATAGATAAGCAAAACATGATAATGTGATTCTATAACAAATAAGGTGAACAATTCCCATGGACTTTGTGTGCTGGTGCTTGATGGTTGTATGTACATATTTAGCTACAATTATTTAAACTGATACATGTTTTTGAATGTTTAAAAATGTAATATCATACACTGTTATCATAATGTTGTTACCAATGTGTCATGATATGGTTTAGACATTATTTTACCTTTGATGTTCAAATTTGGCTGACATTCTACTCAAATAAGCAGTGGTGTGATCCTTTCAAAATATCTGATAAAAAAGGTCTAAGCCTTCTTGGGAATATTTTACCAAGTAAAACAAAAGTAGTGCATGTTTCCACTGCAGAAGTGTTGACTTACTATAAATAAGTATTAGTTGAATTTATATTTTAAAATAAAAACACTAAATATAGAACATCACTTTTGCGTACTATGCAAAATAGTATGAAATCAAATGAAACTCTGTTGTCTAAACATTTATTTGTGGTAATTTCATTTTCTATAAATGTGAGCTATGCTTATGTGTCTTGATACTGAATGTTTTATTGTAGATTTTAAGGAGAATGAATTTAAAAAGACAAGTAAGGGTTTTTTGCAAGAGTAGATAGATCTGTTTTAAAATATATATGATGGTTTTATGGACACTTAAATAGATTTGAATCTTATTGTATTAAGTTTATTGTTTGATAGTGATATGTTGTGATTTAGATTCTAATGAGATTATTTACCAAATACCTGATAGATCTTCTGTTTTTATATCAATCTTTGATGGTTTTCATGATTTAAACTTTTAATTCTTTATAAATCTTTCTGTTTAGAATTTTATTCACTGATAACTGAAGAGGTAAGTGGTTTAAAGTAAACTATTTTATTGTGATGACTGAATACCTGATCAGATCAGAGTCAAAAACACTTTTTTGGAATTGTGGTAATTCATCTTGTGTAAATGTTTTACTGTTTTATCAACTGTATACCTGACATATCTTTGTTTTCTTTTAAATTACAACAGTTAATTTCAAACTGTTTCATTTACTTAAAAGAGCTGTTTGATCTGTGTTCTAAAGTGCAACAGTTATTTTTTTTTACTTTTTCATATACTTAATAGCTAATTGGTCTGTGTTTTTAAGTACAACAGCAAATGTTGAACTGTTTTATATACTTTGCCAAATTTTCTTATTTTAAAAATTAAGTGTGTTTATTGACTAGAGAGTTTTAATGGTATTTAACAATTTTATTGTCCATGTACCTGTTAGATTTGTAATGTAATGCAGGGTTTCAGCATAATATCACAGCTGTAGGAACTAGATGTTACTACCAATCCTAGTTTTCTTCTTATTTTTTTTTTATAAATTATAAACACTTGTTAAACCTAGGGTATACAGCAGTGTCCATCAAATATCATGATAAGTGGGATTCACTGTATCACACTATAAATGTCTGCAGGATAAAATCATCATTAAAACTAAAATGATACAAACTGTCCTTTGTAGTAAAACTGTGTTAGATTTTACCTATCTTGTTTCATTAATTAGTTGTACCATAGTGTCTGGTGATTCTGTGCACCAAGTAAATAAAATATATATCAAGGATGGAAAATCTAATTAATCTGGCCTTTTTGTAATTGTTGATTGCTTTAAGAAAGTCTTTTATTTTTCATGCTCTCCAAAATAATTCAAGTTAAATGCCAAATTTCTCAAAGTCAATTTTGTTGTATGATTTATGATGACATTTAGAAAGATAATTTTCAAAGTAATTTGTTCACTTGGGTCATACACAGTGCCCATCATTACTAAGTACCAAAGGGAACTTGAGAAAGCAAAGTACACAGACTTATCTATCAGGGCAGATTTTTAGCAACTTAAAAGATTTACAATAAAATTGATATACTTTACAACTTTAAAGAGAAAAATATTGAAACATTGATAAAAAAATCTCAAAACAATCATAAACTTCTTTGAAAAATTAAATGGAATCCTTAGATGTACAGCCTACAGCATTGCATTTATATATTGTTATTTATCAGTCTGTCTGGTCATAACAAACTGGTTTAAGATTTCCTTTTCTACCCCATCAAATAGAAATATCCATACTACCAGTATAGGTAATATATCTCTTACCATGGTAATACCGTCTACAGACAAAAACTTATACACTCATTTACATACAATATTAATTTTCAAACTAGTGTAACTGAACATGTGTTTAGGTTTGAGTAAATTCATTGTAAATACTGAGAGGACAGTAGGTTTGTGTAAGTACAATGTTAGTACTACCTGAGAGGACAGTAGGTTTGTGTAAGTACAATGTTAATACTACCTGAGAGGACGGTAGGTTTGTGTAAGTACAATGTTAGTACTACCTGAGAGGACGGTAGGTTTGTGTAAGTACAATGTTAGTACTACCTGAGAGGACGGTAGGTTTGTGTAAGTACAATGTTAGTACTACCTGAGAGGACGGAAGGTTTGTGTAAGTACAATGTTAGTACTACCTGAGAGGACAGTAGGTTTGTGTAAGTACAATGTTAGAACTACCTGAGAGGACAGTAGGTTTGTGTAAGTACTACCTGAGACGACAGTAGGTTCGGTGGTCTATAATTAGAAGAGTTATGTCCCCTTTACTTTTTCTGGCACATGAGATATGGTCAACAATGAATGACAATGGCTGGCTTTGACTTGTTTAAACAGAACCTTCATGTTAGCTTATTATGTTACAGGATCGTTTGTATATCATTTATCTTTTAGTGGTAAATACAGATAAAATCATTGTTTATTTCACCATATATAATCAGGGGATTGATTTTTATTTCATAATCTTAATTTTAATCAATATAGATTCACGTAATTGTTCAGTTTCCTGTGAATGACACTTTGAACGATTGATGAAATGTTGCTTCAGTTTTTCCCCTGTTGAGGTATGGTGCTGTGATCAGTGGTGTAATAATGAAACTGAGATTAAATAGTCATAGATTTATACAGTAACAGATCGTTTTTCAGATTTTATGTATATTCTTTTTATATATTATGTGTTTTGATTGTCATTCGGGTTTATTTAATGTTCACCCCTGAAGTCTTGCCAAACTTACAGTGTGATGATCTTATTTTTGTAGATTTATCATAGACAGACTGGAACAGTCTTTGTTGATGAGGTGTTGTATACAGCCATATGTTTTATAAACCATACCTTGTAATACAGTCCTAGTATCCTTTGTGTAGAAGTAAAAATCATTGTTACTTAAACTGAGTGCATCAATCTCACCACAATTAGTCCCCATGTATAGATCAGACTTCATAGGCCATTGTTCAAAAACGTTCTCAAAAACATGGCATGTGAATTACTGTGCATATAGACCAATATTTCCATTAATTCCATGCTTCAATCAGTTTACATTTTTCTCTCTCTCTTTTTTTAGCCCATCATCTGTCATCTGTCGGTCTGTAAACAATAGTTGTTATTGCTATTTCCCCTTGTTCTCTAGTTGTGTCCATTCGATTTTGGTACTGATCAGAAAAACAAAATGGCCTACAGGTTCCTTTTTTTCTTATAGCTATTTCTCAAGAAATAATGCATAGATCTTTCTCAAAAGTTAATATATAGGTTTCTCTCTAGTTGTGTTTGATTGAGCAGACAGAAATCCATCATGGATTTCACCAAGTAAAGATTGTTATCCTTATTTCTTCAGAAATACTGAATGGATCTCTCTCAATTTTCATACGTATGTTCCTTTTGGTTCCTTTTTTTTTTCTTTTTTCTTTTTGCCCATTTGATTTAGGGACTGATCAGAAGAAACAAAATGGCTTCAGGGCGACCATTTTGGATTTGGCAGGCAAGGATTATCATTGTTATTTCTGCAAAGGAATGTTCAAATTCCTTATTATTAAGAGCAAAAACCGAGAAGTGAAAAGAAGGAAAAAGATCAAACTTTCAAAGAGCAAATAAAGATCAAACAATGGTGGGTGCCTAGATCCCTCTTGGATCTCTTGGGGTTTTTTTGTTAGATTTTTTTCATTATTTGATTGATACACAACAAAAAAAACTCAAACAGAGACAGGAACTATGGAATTTCATATGTATAGAAATCCTTCCTACTACTTGCTATATTTCTAGTGTACATGGAACCTTCTGTTAAATTTCATTAGAAAAAAAAAACCAACATAAGGAGCTGTTGTTTGTGTGTTAAAATCTAACGGATAACTTTCAGTATCCAATACATGTGTAATAATGAAATTTTAAGTTGATGATCTATAGAACTTATGTTCGTGGATTATTTCTATTGTGTTGCTTTGTTTAGTTAAAACTTCAAAGTAGATCACATATAACACATGTTGGAAAAGAAAGTTCAGAATGTCACATAATGATTTAACATGTAACAACATGATGGAAAAGAAGTGCAGTATATTACACAATATTGAGATAAAAAAGGCTGTATATGAGGAATGATAATATGATGTGATATTGATGGTAATTATCCTTCTTGTGTATATTCTATTTTCTGTTAAACATTTCCCATAATTATCTCGAGTTTACATTTGATTTGGTTCCTACTGGTAAAGGATAGAGTTCAGATAACACATTATTGTAATACCAAAATGTGCCAAAATGTTTACCACTTGTTCTTATTTCAATTTTGTAAAATTGTATCAATAATCTAATATTATTCTTAATTAAGGACAAAAAAGCTTATTTTGTAGATGTATGGAATAGTGAACAGTACTATCAGGAGATTTCACTAAATTGTCGTTTCAATCACTTGGCTGTCTTGCATTTTTAGCTCTGTTGTAAGAGATATAGTGTATATTGAGTAGATGTTTTAGTCTGATATCAGTACTGTCATTAGATGATAGTACTGATAAACATGATACCCTGTCAGTACACATACTATCATCTAATGATACCACACTACGCTCTATGTTCAATTTAGTTTTTCAGAATTATTTTGGTATTACATTGTAATAATCTTTATATAAAAGCTTTCATCTTTCTTAATTCTATGGTGCATTATTTACATATAAAAATATCTATTTGACATTCCATTTTAAATACATGATTCCTGTTACATGTCTTATGTTTTGTTGTGTATTAGTTGGCTTACCACCAGGCAGGAGTAGTCTCCCCTACTTCACCAACTGTATCTTGACTTGGAGAGAAACGTTGACAGGTAAATTATTCTCTCACACAGCACTTACATTGTCTTTGTTCACTCTAAATATAAGTTCCTTATACAGGTTAGTGTCACTGGCTATAACTGATACAGTATACAGGTTAGTGTCACTGACTATAACTGATACACTTTAGTGTCACTGGCTATAACTGATACAGTATACAGGTTAGTGTCACTAACTATAACTGATACAGGTTAGTGTCACTGGCTATAACTGATACAGTATACAGGTTAGTGTCACTGACTATAACTGATACAGTATACAGGTTAGTGTCACTGACTATAACTGATACAGTATACAGGTTAGTGTCACTAACTATAAGTGATACAGTATACAGGTTAGTGTCACTGGCTATAATTGATACAGAATACAGGTTAATATCACTGACTATAACTGATGCCGTATACAGGTTAGTGTCACTGGTTATAACTGATACAGTATAGAGGTTAGTGTTACTTACTATAACTGATACAGTATACGGGTTAGTGCCACTGGCTATAACTGATACAGGATACAGGTTAGTGTCACTG